AAGAAAAAGAAAGAAAAAAACAAACAGACTGCCCGTTGCCGTCCCTGCACACCCTGACGAGAGACTTACACGACCAATTGCCCCTCCCCCGCCGCATCCCATCCCACCTGATCCTGACCAAAACGTCGAGCCGGCCCGTCTGAGCTCATCATCCTCCAAGATGTGCTACCAGCTAGTGGAGCTCTACTCGCAGTGCCGTTGCCTATACTATCAGCACGCGGTTGACCGATGCGCTTCCTACGGCCGACGAGGCCACGGAATCACGAGACGGACGATTCTGGTCGGTTATGCCTGTCAAGACCATACGGCCTCGAGCCACTACGGCAACTACGCATCGGCGCAGTCATACTCAGACTCAGGCTACTACAGTGGCCATTCTCACAAGAGCTCACGGCGACATCGGTGAAACGTCTTGTCTTCGATATCTGGCCGCTGCGCCTGGCATTCACCACCACTGCTGATGTTCCAATTTGAGCATTGGGTCTCTTACCTCTACTCCTTCAGGCCGAGAGTCGTATCGCCATCACGCCGGCCTTCGCAGCTGTCAATGCTGTTTGTAGGCCACGACCGCATCATGTCGACATCTACTCCGCCCGCGCTACAACGACCCGATGACGCTTAAGACTTCTGCTCTGATGCTCCCTACCGAGAGAATCACAGACTCAGCGTTCACTATCGAAGACGCGGCATTTTGCCACGAGAGGCTCTGTTTTCCTATTGGAGGAAGAGAGGTGGATTGAGAACGTCGTCCACGCCCGTCACGACTCTGCACATCCATGGATGGCATGCATGACGATCACGATTGGACGCTCAGTCCCCGGGATGGTTTTATGTGTTTGGCTTTTGGCATTGGTTTCTAGCGGGATAGCATAGCGTCGGCAGGGGTACACTTGCATTGGGTTCAGATGGGCACACGACTCGGAGGACTTCTCGACTGGAGGCCTGCTTCCGCTCATTACGATGTTTCGGAAGCTACCACGACTTCTGCGAGGGTTGATGCCCGTTATTTTCTCTTCTTTTCAAAAGCATAGGGTTGGGTCATTGCATGGAGCTCGGGCAGGACTATACCAGGCGTTTTCGGGCGGATGACGGCAGTCTCTTCCATTGCCAGGAAGCAGAGGATACATGCGGTTTGCTGGTCCAACTTTGTTTTATTTTTCTTGTTTCGTTTGGGTTTTCATGTCATCTCATCTCGTTTTCTGAACTTTTCTCCCCCCTACCACAGCTTTGAGCATTGTTTGTGTATTAACATCAACCATGTCTGGGACTGCTCAGGCAGCATCTCATGTATTCTAGATCCTTACGACAGCCTGCAAGACACCAGTGCAAATGCTGGAAAGGGATGCGGGTCACGCCCTTCAGGACGTTTGCTGGTTCTCTTGCATGGCCTGGAACGTTTGGTCTCGGGTATCCACCCTCTGTATTTTTCTCTCGATGTACCTCCGTCAGGCTACGGAGCAGGAAAGACGTTTAGAAGACCATAGATTCGAAGCTCCCACTGAGCAAACAGAGGGCAAGAGGTAGAATGTCACATGTCGATGTTGAACAGCTACATAATAATATATTACGATTCAAAATTGTGAGATACAGACTTCTTCTACCAGTCAACAGCAATGCGGACTTGACACTCGACACCATCATGAGCACGCCACACTTAGCGGTACTTGAGCGGTGTCAGCGAGGACTATGGTGTTTGCACAACTGCTAGGTAACGCTGGATAGATGCAGGCATCTTAGAACTGAGCTACTATAACTAGGCTATCAAGGGCTCCTTCAACCAAGCACCCAAGAATACGACGAGGAGCCGAGTAAGTGGCGGCAGGGCCACCCAGGACTTGCTCACCGAGGGAAATCGGTTTCGGAGAGCTGGACTGTCTTATACTATTTCGAGAGACGTCGTCTGTCACAGCCGCGGGAAAACGCCGTTTCTGGCCCCCAATTGGTTTACAACACGTTCCTGCTTTGTTGCAGAAGCGGCGATCGGCAGTTCGCCTTGCGCTAAGACACCCCAGTTCAGATGAAGGGCATCAATCAGCCTACCCCGTATTCTGGGAAGGAAGGATTTCGTGGGCCAGCTTCCCACCATCTTGGCAGTGCCGGTGTCACAACGCCGCCAAGACTGGAACATGGGATGAGGTTTCCACGGTTAGCCCTCAGCGCAGGTCCATATGGCCGGTATGCATGCAATCCAACCACACTGCGGCATTTGATGGGTCCCAACGGAGTGGGTGTGCTCTAGTGATTGTGGTAGAGCTATGCACGTTCCCAACTCTGTCACTGCGAGATGCATAGTTACGAGCAGGGCAGGGCTGGTCAACTAGCTCCAATGGTGGTGGGGTTTACTGTTATTGGACACAACTATTTATAGGAGCTTGACCTGTGCTTCTAACCCCGACTGGGAGAAGAAGAAACAAAACCCAGAGTTCCACAGTGGCAGACTAGACGAAGCATCACTACGCGACACTAGGTGTTCTCAATCAGTTGCCAAGTTCTCCTGAGCCTCACGCTGAAGATATCTGCGGCCTATTATTCCCCCAGATCTCTTGTCAGAGACGGAGGCAACCAGACCGTGATAGGCGCTGCTGACGCCGTTAGCCGCGCTGGGTCTGACAGGTACAGGGGTTCGCTAGCGAGCACTATGTAAGCAAATTCTGCCCAGATCCAGCTAGGTTGGGGTCCAAATTTGGATCTCGCAGTGCCTGCCCCGATGTTACGCTGACGAGGTGTCTCTGGTGAGGGTGTCTCCCCAAACAATGGATGACGCACGCAAAATCGAGATCATTCTACCGCTCGACCACGGAACTGGAAAGCACTGTTTCCACGTGTGCTGACTGCAGCGGATGCAACCCCTAGTGATCATGCGATGTGTGTCTGGCCCGCGGGCGAGAGCCGCTGCATGGCCACCACTAGTTGCTCTCCAAGACGTGCCATTCACTCCCGTCTTTGCGTTGGATCACCATGTACAAGCTAAACGAACCACAGTTGTAGAACAGACTCTAAGCCGAAAGGGACTCAACAGTGCCCGGTCCGCTAACTCGGAGCGGAGATAGGACGTGGCGTATGACACCGCGCTGTCGAATTAGATTTCGGGAATCGGCTATTTCCATTCTTGGACACCTTGGCTCCTGGTCAGACTATTTAATGCAACGGCACTTGGAAATCCTGCTGACCAGGTGAGTCGCCGTTCCTGTCAATCCGACAGGCTGAAACCTGGTTCTATCTTCAGAGCAAGTGAGGCCCCAGCCTTCCCATTGGTTTCTCGCCCGTGAGTGACTAGGGAACTACGCATTGCCATGCCACTCCTGCCACTCTCCTCCGATACGATAAGCCTATCCCAAGCTCCAGGAAACACGATACCCTCGCCATGGCTTTTCTTCATATCGGCCCTACCCGCAAGGCAGAGCAGTTCGTGTCTTGAACAGGGTGGAGGCGCAAGCTGCCGCTGCGGGTCATTTAGTCGCCGAGGCAGTAGATAGTTTATTTCCTTACTCACGGGGGTGTCCGCCGCAAATTTGATTCTGCCGGTAACTCAAGAGTGAGATACGCACCAAACGGAGTTCTCACTGCATCGCAAGACCGGTCAAGCTAAACCCTTCTCCTACAATAGCTTGATATAGACCTATGCCAAGGACTGCACCATTTCAACGTGGTACTGAACCTGATGCGAACTTCCTGACCCATTGTGTAGATCAAATGTAGTCTGTCCGTGTTACTCAAAGCTCTCGGAAGCGAACTGCGGCTTCTCGCAAGAAGTACAACACTGTCCTTACGATTGTCATACCAAGCCCTGCCTGTAGGTAAGCACCAGCCCTTGCCGGTGGCACCACAAACCCGGGAGACACCACGTGGAAAGAGGGGTACTAATGGCCCCCAAGGAGCTGTCCAACACGAACGGGAATGAGACGCGATGGATCCCCATCCCGACAGTTTGGAAGCGGGAATATGTGAACTTGGGGGGACTGCGCCAGGGGTTTGGGGCCGACTGAGGCGGGCGGGCAAGCCTACGCGGATAGAAGCCGGGCGGGCGGCTCATCACCCGCGGCGTGTGAGACCCATGACAGGAAACAGCGAATTGGATTTGCGGAAGACCACTTATTGTTTGCTCTCCAATGCGCAGGTTAACAACCATCACAAGGAGTGATGAAATTAATAAATAACAGCATGCAGCAGGCCCCCGACCATTGGTCTGGCACTACCCATGGCCTCGAAACCTGAAACGACTATAATTGGCATACATGCAATGCAGTATTATGAACTTCAGGTTTCTTTTTCGGGTCTTCACCGGTTGCAGATCAACACATGGCCCCGGTAAAAAGTACAAGTATTCTTGGTGCTTATCAGGTTCGGAAAATGGCAAGAGAGGAAAGGGCCTCACACTCTGAAGCAAACGGGTTTGGGCCATGCAAGAGATTCAAGACGCAGGCAGTGGAAGGGCCGCATGCAGTACTGTTTCTCCAAGTCAACACAGAGGACGCAACTTCGCATGGAAGTGGATAGGCGTGACAAGGGGTCTACCTATAATGCTGCCATGTCTGTGTCTAGTATGGAGTATGCAGTCAATTACTTTGTAGCAAGTGGCGCTAAACGAAGCACATTTCACAGTGCCAGGGTCTGAACCTGACTAGGATGCCTGGATATAGTTGACGAGAACAACAAGAAAAGAAAACTGAGAGCAATATTATTTCCGAAACTGCAAATCAGCCTTGATCGACCTTGCAACTAGCACACGCGGGGTATGAAGCTGAGGCAATCTATCCCTCTCCCTGAGTAAAGGGTGTCCGAACCAAGAGTTCGGACATCGCTAAAGGCCCCCCACTTCTGTACCTCCGTCGCGCTTTCGCAACCAACCCAACGCGCTTGTAGCAAACAAGCTGTGGGAAGTTGGGGATGAAAGACGAGAAATCTCATCATCCACCGCAGACAACTCTAGACGCATCACAGCAGTGACCGCTGAGGGTGAACGATCTGGCATAGAACATGCGAGCTGCTGGTGCACAAGAATGCCCGTGGTGATCCCAACCTCCGACCAGCTGCAGAGAGGCCAGGCGCTTTATAAGGCGGGCAATCTCATCGAGGCCTCACAATGTTTCAAGTCGGTAAGTTGTCGATAAGAAAAATACTGGCGCGCTCTGTTAGCTATGTGCTGATTTGATCAAGATAATCAAGAACTGCTCGGGCTGCAAGGCAGGGAAGCCCAGCGTTCTCTGCGAGTGCAATGACCTGCTAGCTGCTTGCCAGAATCGCACGCTGGCGGACGTGCTGCGCAAACCGTGCAGATGTCCACAGCGGGCTCATATGCGTTGCAAAGAGGATGGCCACGTATCTGCTCTCGCGAACCTGGTCATGGTTGCGGTGAAGGCCAAGGATTACAAGCGTGGTCTCGTGTACGCTCAGAATCTGGTTTATCTGGCCCCTCGCGACCCCAGAGGCTACCTACGACTTGGACAAGTCTTGCGTCTCGTCGACCGACACCGCACCGCCCTGGGTGTGTACCAGCAGGGAATCGTGCTCGTGGCCAAGGCCAAGCCTGACCACCCGGGGCTCAAGACGCTGCAGGACCAAGCAGAGATTGTACGGAAGCTGGTCTCCCAGGTCGATCCCATAGAGACACTGCCAGCTGAACTGATCAACCTGGTCTTCAGCCATCTGAGCACAAGGGAGCTCTGGTAAGTGCCCACGCCAAATTTCGGACTCGTTCTTTGCGAGGATCTGTGCCTGACGTCGTATAGTCGCTTCCTTCGTGTTTCCAAGAGCTGGAAGGCATTCCTGGAGAGCTCAGCAGCCAAACCTCTATGGCTATCGCAACACTACGACGTTAAGAGCAGGTTCTTCAAGAAGCCCAAACCGCAGACCACACAGAAGTATCTGGTGACCTACCCCGGCGGGCAGCTGAAGCATTTGGTCCTGGACCAGCTTGACACAGTCTCCCACGGCGACAAAGTCTTCATAATGCTGTCCGCGCTGCCTCGACTTGAAACGTTCATACTTCACGGTAGCGCCACCCTGACAGGTAACCTACCACCTATAGGGAAGCTGCCGAAACTCAAAGTTCTCTCGTTAGCCGCTTCGATTCGGATCGAATGTGCACACCTGAACCGTCTTATCGCTGCTAGTGCTAATACCTTGGAGGAACTGGCTGTTATGGGCTGTCCCTACGGTCACGGGGAATCACAGCGCGTGGACTGGCCACAGCTTCCGAACCTGCGCACCCTCAAGCTTGTATCCCCAGGAATAGGCACACCATTCGTTGACATGGAGACAGTAATGTGCCGAACGCCGAATGTCGAGAATGTGTTGCTTGACGCAATCCAGTTTGGTAGAAATCGCGCCAACGACGAACGGCCGGATGGGCCCCTTTGGCCACACCTGCGTCGTGTAGCTCTGGGCCCCGGCTTTCACGTCACTCGCGACATGCGATTCCCGGCACTGTCCGAGGCGGTCACCGAACTCGTGCTCGAGAACGACTCCATACTACACGTGTGCACCAGTTTGGAGAGTGCGCCGGAGGACATGGAGCTCACCATGATATTCTCGCGTCCTTCCAACATCATTTCGGTGGGCATTCCTCATCTCCCGAGGCTCGAGACGCTCGTTCTTAGAGGTCGGTACCCTCTGACCCCTGAGGCCTTCCAACTTCTGGCGCAGCCCTCGGTTGCGAGCGATTCCCTCCGTCATCTATATCTCAGTCCCTTCCCTTGGCAGGCTCTGAACGTCCCGGGGGGACTGGAGTGGGCCAGGCCCAGCGAGGATCAGACCGGCCTGGAGGTCCTAAACGCAAACTACCTGATCGGGGAGGTCGGCCGCCATATCGAAGACCCCGACGAAGCCCTGGTCCGTCTTTGCGATCACTTTCCGAACCTCAAGGATCTGGATATCGGAGCTGAGACTGTGTCGCCCATCACCCTGGGTCGCCTTCTCGAGAAGACCAAGATCACCAATCTCTACCACTACCAAGGCGCTCTGATGACGGAGCTAAGAGACTGGGCCAAGACCATTAGCAAGAATGTTACACAGGGGAAGAATCCCAAGAACTTGGGAAGCTTGGAACCGGATTGGCCTACATGAAGTGGGACTGCAGAGTTGAGCGTTCTGACTTGGCTGTATTACGACCCCACAGGACTTTTGGTAAATGTTGTGCTGGATCTACCTATAAAACTACCTAAGAACATACTCCCACGCTTGTTCAGCTAGAAATAACTACTTGTCAGACGCTTTCCGTCTTGCGGCAGATATACTCCAAAGCGCACACGATAAGAACCTCTACCCGAGAGACGATGCAAGATGTAAAGTTTCGTGGTTGACCCAGTAGTTAACTGCCGTGAACGCTGTTGTCGTTGATAGCACAACTACTACCTGTAGAACAGCTGACAGAACTCGAACTTGAGAAACAGCCCTGCTCTTGTCCTTGGCAAACGGGTCTCACAATTCAAAAAAATAAAATAAATAAACATGACTTCTTCCACTCAGGAGCACGCCCTGCTCTTTTTTTGTCTCGTCTCATTATGTAGTATTATAGTACATGTATGTGCACCATCGCCACTCGGGCGGAATACCCTAGCGGTAGGAATAGCGATCAAAAGTAATGGTGCCCCATTGCTACCTTTCTATAACACAGATCTTTTTTTCCCTTTAGCCATTTCATAATCCGTGAATGCGGAATTAGTATTGGGGGGGCGTCGTCGTTCTTTTATCACATGGCCCCTGGCAACTTCTCTGCCGTGAACGCCGACGTCGTGGCAATGGTCGTAAATGTGCTGTGTTGGTGGTACGCTGTATATAGCAACGGGAACGAAGGTCGTAGAAATGTAATGTTGGTATAGTCGCGACGATTCATCACCTTCCCGTACTCCCCTTTGCGACAATGCAGCCTTTCTCCTCCTCTAAAATTAACATGGTCATGTTTCCAGGGCCTTCCCGCACGATCCCGTGACAACTCAGGGTTATCGCAGAACCAAGAAACCATGGCAGCCTCCCTCGTTCGAGTCACCGCAAATAATATGCCCTAGAAGAGAACACGAACTGTACCCAAAGGGTCGTGTCCTCACTGTCAAGATATGATTCTCAAGGATAGCTCTTCGGTCATTCAATCCAAAGTCACCGCCCTTCCGCCAACGCCCTGCTCTCGCTCCGTAAAAGCCAATGGTTGTGATATCAGGTGTTGAGCAATTCAAGCCCGTCGGCTCATGGCGGCAGTAGCACCAGCTGAAGCGAGGTCCTGCTTGCCACTAACACTGCGACCAGCTACGCGGGGAAGATTGCTGCCGCTTAGGGTCGTGCCGGATATCCCACTTTGACCAGTGCTTGTTCGCTTGATCCCAGCGGACGTGAATGGACCCGTGATCCCGGACGCCCGCCGTGTGGTAATGGGCGGAGTGGGCTTATGGGGAGACGCGCCCGTCCGTGGATTCATTGGCTTGTTGACTCCAGGGGGGTCGGGAAGCGGTCGAGGCGCCGATATTGTGTTGTGTCGCTTCATTGGAGACGCGTCCCTGATTGCTGTACGGGGAACAGGTACGGAGGTCTTCTGGCCAGTAATGAACTCGTGCCGAATGGCCTCCTCCGGCTTGATTCGCCGGTCTGGATCCCATCTCAAACAACGAGCGATGAAATCCAAGAACGGCTCGTCGTCGCACTTCAAAGCCTGCTGAAGTGTCTTTGACGAAGGCCGCCGCCGGCGGCCCTTACTAGAGACTGTCAGGCGAGGCTTGCCCATCGAGTCAAAGAAGAGCTTCTTCCTGGTGCTCTTCTCAATCAAGTGCTTCTCGGGAGGTCCAAATACTTCCATGATACAAGCTAGTTGTTCTTGTTCGTTTTCACCAGGGAAGATTGGAACTCCGGTATACAGTTCAGCCAAGATGCAGCCTATGCTCCACATATCGATAGGCAATCCGTATGTCATACCGAGTATGACTTCAGGCGATCGATAAAACCGCGACTGGATATACGTATATACCTTCTCGTTCTCGAAACAGCTCGAACCAAAATCAATGACCTTGATTTCGGAATGCATAGGGTGCCTGAGTAAGATGTTCTCCGGTTTCAAGTCGCAATGGATGACTTTGTGTTGCTTGAGCAAGTTGAGGGAACTGAGCATTTGCTTTGTGAAACGGCGAATCAGCTTCAGAGAGAAGCCACGGAATGAGTTCGATTTTATGAACTCATAAAGGTTCATATCCAAGAGCTCGGTTGAGATACACAGATGTCCTCGGAAGTAGAAGCTGTGAGTGAAGTTAACCATACTATGCCTGTTCTTCGGATCCCAGTCCCGGATCTTCTGGAGAATGTTGACCTCGACCAAGGCTTGTTGATGGAATCTTTTCTTGTTTCGAATAATCTTGACGGCAACCAGAACACCGGTCTTGTGGTCAATGCATCTGACAACTTGGCCAAAACTTCCCTTCCCTAGAATATCGACAATTTCGTAGCGAAAAGCTAGGTGATCGCCAACAATGATCGAATAGTCGCCACGATCATCGTCATAGCCGAAGTTTGGGGCACTGGATTTCAAATCGCCAACCACCTTGGCGGCGTTTTGCGTGCCGCAGAAGTACACATCGCTATAATCCACAATTTCCCCTCGTTCGTATATATTCAGCATGGCAATCCTGATGGCTTCTTGGGGGCTGACTCGCTCCTTTGGCGTGGCTCTTTTGCGCAAAGCATCCAGGGTCCTTGCTGCCATTTCGGTCTCTTTCCTTCTTGAAGCAAGCTTCCGCATCTCGTCTTCCGCTACAAGGTCGTCCTTGTCCAGCTCCGCACTGAATAGGTCTTGCTTGATTGACGCTGTAGATGGTCGCGGCCGCAGTATTCTCTGCATAGACGACGATCGCGATCCGGTCGAGGGCTCGACTGCTAAGCTGTTGCCGGCATCGAGTGACGACTTCTTACTTGACTGAAGCCCAGCCTTGGACTTTTCTTGTGCCATGATCGTGTTGAGGCTCGAGGCAGAGCTCTTTCTCCTTCTAGATTCCAGGTAGTTGCCGGAAGACTTCGTGACAACACTGGGGCTTGGGGCCTTCATCGATCCGAGGGTTGCTGAGATGGGAATGCGAGGCGGTGGCATGCTGTCTTGCCGAGCATGCCCCGAACCATGATCGACAGAGCCGTTGGTGGGATGATTGCTGCTCTTTGAGGTGCTCCGTTTCCACGACAAGCTTAACTTCCTCCTGAGGGAGGTCATGGATGACGGTGTTTGTGGTTCTTCTGGGCTTGATATCCGTGGTGGTGATTTGGCGGCCGGTTTCGTCAACTTCTGGGCACGAGGACCCGTGGGCTTCTGTGGTGGCCTGGTCTCGGCGCTGGTGCCAACGTCTACAGGCAGTGTCTTGTTCATATCTCCGCTGGTTTTGGCCCTGGCAAGATTCGCGCCAAAGGAGCTCTCACTCTTGGGAACCGACGAAGAGAGAAAGGGGGAGACGGAGGGTTTACCGGGGATCTCTGGCACTGAGTCAGAGGAGCTTCTCGTGTGTATATCGTCTGAGCTTTCGAGCCGACTGTGATGGACAGAGCTGCTACTCCGCAGGCTGGGTTTCTCTGGATCCCTGTCCTTGTGGCCGCGGGAGAAGAACGTGCTCTTCGACGCAGTCAAGGGTGTGGTAGGTGTCTTCGCGGTGACCCTGCTAGGGGGCGGAGTCACCTTTCCGGCATCATTTCCTTGGTCTTTCAGCGCTGAGATCTTTGCTGCTGTTGGTGTGCTCAAGGGCCCTAAGCTGATAGGCGGTAATCTCAATGGTGCGAGGTTCTTTTTCGGCTGAGTGGGAACTATTGCCCTTTTTTCGAATTCGGAAGGGCCCAAGGTCGCTCTTGATTTTCGAGTACTTGGTTTCCTCTGTACTTGCGAAATTGGTTCAAATGAAGGCGCATTTGACAGGGTCCCAGTAGAGTTGCTGTGAATACTACTCGCATCAAAAGCATGGCTAGATTTCTTCCTCTCGATAAAGGCTAGTTCAGCTGGCGAATCTTTAGGTGATTCATATGCCTTGGGGATGGCTGGCACTGGGGGCACATCTTCCTCCTCCTCCGCAGCCGGCTGGGTGCCGTGCGTGGGGTTGGCTTTGGGAGCAGGTAACCGTGATGAGGGTGCCGAGCTCTGTGCAAGCCCGCGTTGTATTGATCCAGTTGAGGTTCGGTGTGTATTGAAGCTCGTCGTGGAGCCCACAGAGAGTCCAGAGCTGTACGATTTCCTGTTGGGATCAGGCGTGGTTCTCGACGAGGAAGGGGTGGACGTCTTGCGCGGGATCATGGAAGGCGAACGTGAAGTAGGCCGTGGCTCAGAAGTTGCGGGCTGAGAGTTGGCGACCTGAGCTAGGCTCTGAGACTGGTGCATCGACATACGTTTCATCCTCTGTGCGTCGGTGGGAGAAATAGTCCTTGCGCCCAGACCGGAAACATGAGAAGAGTGACCACCAGGCATGACGGATGCTCTCCTGCCGGATCCGGGTGTCCCACCGGCGCCCGCACCAGTCCTCGGAGATCGTGGGAAGACTATCGACTTCCGGCCGCCATCGGGAGTGAGCTGGCTACTGTTACTGCTGGTGCTAGCGGAGAAGTTGGTGGCGGATATTCTTGGGGGAGGTTGGACCGATCTCGCCTTTGTCGCTCGGGATGCTGTAAGGCCCCTCGTCGTGTCACCACCGTTGCCAAAAATCTCTACCGACGTGCGGGCGCTGGTGTCTTTGTCGGAGTTCGATATCAAACTAGGACGCCGCTTCTGAGCCATGCGGGTTCCATGGTCGAAATCGATTACGCCGGGCCCAATCGACTTCCTCGGCGGCTTCCCAACGGCGGCATTAGACACTGGCGGGTAGTGGCTCTGGCGACGATTCCTCATGGCAGCCGGCGCAGTTGGCGCATCCATAATAGTTGAGGAAGGCGCCGACGCGTTGGACCCTAGGCTAGCCTGCCTATTGGACGTGCTCGGCCTCCTCAGTATGGACCCCGACCTCGTAGGTCTGCCTCCAGCCGCGGCCGTGTTGGGGGTGGGATTGGGCTGTATGGCGACACGCGTGGTGCTCCCATTGTGAGTGACGTTAGGCTGCTGACCCGCCATCCTGTCGACCAAAGGCTTGTCGTCGAGGATGGAGCCTTGTCCGGTGGGCGAGGGAAACTGGGTCAGTTTGAACTCGGTAGAGGCGGACTCAAGGCTGCTTTGTAGGTCGTCGAAGCTGACCGAGGGCAGGAAGTCAAAGGAGCCCGTCGTGGAATCGGTCAAGTCACCATTTCCTCCATTCCGGCCGAAAGAAAACAGTGAGTGGTTGTTGGAGGAGGAAGCGCTCAGCATTTGGGCGTCGTTGGAGAGCGAGGCTGCCGTCGATGCCGACAGAGAGGTCGCAGCCGGGTTTGCAAGAGGGTGAATGTTTTCCTTGGTTCTAAGAGGCCAGGGGCCGTGTCAGAATGGGGTCCTTTGTACTATGATGACCTATTTTCTTTTCTCCTTTTCTCTCCCTCAAGCGGGAAGCAGCATCTGCCGGGACAGGCAGTTGTCACGTCCTAGGTCCCGGACGAGAGTACAGGGGAGTGGGAGAGTGTAGTTGGAGTACATACGATCGTGTCGGGGAGCGGGAGGTATTCGCTGGTCGCGGGCCAGCAGGGACCTTGTGATCCCTAAACATAGGATCGACGGCCAGACAGCGTCGGGCGGGTCGCTTCTGTCGGGTTCGCGGCTGGCGTCGACAATGCGAGCGAGCGACAGAGGGACAAGACAGCCCAGAGGCAGAGGCCTGAGGCACGGCGCTGGGTCGGGTCGTGTGCGGGATGGAGCGTGTGAAAAGTCCACAGACCGAGTCGTCCCCTGAAGGCGTTGCCGCTAAGCCGATAACTCGCGCCGTGTCTCTGGGTCGTATCAAATCAAAATCTCAGTCCGGCTAGGGAGCTGAGTGCCAAACCCCGGGGCTATCGCATCGCTGGGGCTGAGGCGCGGCGACACGGGTTGCGAGGCGTGTGTCGTTTCTTTCTGCGAACAACGGTCGAGTCGAGTGAGTGCACGCTCGACCGCAAGCGTCGTCGGTCTCGGGGGTGGGAGTTGGTTGGTCGGACGGATGTTTGGTCAGGGAACAGGAAAATAAGAAGGTCGAGGTTGCAAGGTCCCACCTGCCCGCCATCCGCGGAAATTGACTGGCCCAGGTGCTCCCAGGGCCGGTTGCTCTTTTGCAGGCGTCCGTTGCCCGTCGCTAGGGACTAGGGGGCGCCCAAAGGGGGGGTCCCAGGAGCTAGGGTAGGCACTGGGCGGCCACTGGCACTTGGGACTCGGGAGGGGAGGGCCCTATGGATTACGATGGGCATTTGCCTGACCGCGAGCGAAATGCCGTTCCCCTTGCACGTTCACGTCTTCTGTGCAACTACACAGTAACTGCCTTCACCACAGCGACCGACCTGGATCTTGCTCGCACGTATGGAATATGTTAGTTACCTACTGTACCGTACCTTAGGTAACTAGGTAGGTATGTAAGTTACACTATGCCCCCGCCCAAGGGTTGCCATTGCAGACGACAGTTTCGCTTGCAACGCGCCGCCTCGGAGCGCAACGATCAGTAGTCCCAACCTTAACTATTCCTTCACAGAAGGCCAACATTCATCTCAGATGTCCTCCAACTTACCACCGTACCTTCAGCAGTCTCAAGCATTGTTCCGCTCCGTCGATGATTCCAAGTTTTGCAGTTCACGGTCCACGGTCCACGGTCGGCCGGGCCACCATCCTAGCCCGCAGAAAGTAGGCGGCGCCTTTTAAGACGAACGACCCTCCAGCTGGGGGCATGGACCGCATGGACCCAAAGCAGCCCGCCGCACTCACCAACAACCACGCCAAGTTCCCTCTCTCAATATCTGGCCGCCTTCCATATTTCTTGGAATGCATCCCACGTCTTGCAGTTCCTGAAACCATTCAACGACGCGATCCAAGATCGAGTCCTCCCCTGCTCGCCTGCCCTCGGGCTGTCCTGTTGCTGCAGACTACTGTGTACAGTACTTTCACTCCCGGCCGCGCTACCTGCAAACGGCGTCATCTGCCCGTGCTTCCCGGCGCGCACTTCTCGATGAACTAGCACCGAACTCGGGAATGTGAAATCAAGTCTTGCTTTTTCTACCTGTCACACGTCTAATTGACGCACTGCATGTGCCGGAGAACAGGTTCCAGCAAGTGCCATGCACTCGGCAATCATACTTATAGGGACAAGTCACAGATGGCTCCCCATGATGAGTATAGCTCTATAAAGGTAGGTAACTTGCCATGTACCTAAGTATGTAAAGCATAGCATGTAATTTCCTTGACTGGAGCCCATGACGAGCAAGAACACACACACACACACACACAACGCGCTCTCGGATCGCAACACGAACTCCATTGACGGCTGACGGCAACGTACGTGCTGTACTCCGTGCTCGGTTTTGATATACCTGTAGTCCATTGGCGGTGTCCATTCGCATCAAGGGACAGGGTCCTGCGGGTCCTTCCTCTCACTCCTCTGGCAAACAACTGCTCGACTGTTTCTTCGCGCTCTCGACCTCGCCAGATGACTGGCCGAGAAAAAGGTCTCCGACTCTTTGTGCCTGACTAAAGTGGGCTCTCGATGCAAAGCACCGACCACGCGGAGACGTTGCTTCGCTGCAGCCCGCTTTCTCTTTTGTTTTCTTAATACGGATGCACTATTATCAACCTAAGCTCCTGGCCCCGAAATCTCGACAGGAGGATCTGCGTACCGAGCCAATGCTCCGTCCACGCGCCTCGTGTCCTAAACTGGCCAAATAACCATTCTGCCCGAGCAACCGTCTATCAAGCTGGCCGTTTTCCTTGAATCTGCCTGCTTATCTGTAACACGATCCCTGCACTTACAGTAAACGCAGGCAATGGGACGAATATGCGACTTCTCAAGATGCAAACTGGACCAGATCACATTCCTCCATTGCACCAGCGGCCAATGGGATCATCCTACGATGAAAACACAGTTTTGCGCATCCCGTGCCCAACACAGCAGCGCGCTTGCGCCTGAACAACACGAGAAGTCTAACGGGCTGCTCAGGGGTCAAGCAAGCTCAAGGTTTTCCGAGCGCGCGAAAGCTTAGGCGTTAAGAGGATCGTCAGGGTCTCCGGAATTGGCCCCCTTTTCGATGCAGCCACCGCAACCGTTTTGGGACATGGGATGCCCGCTTTAGCCCTTTGAGGCTTTTCGCCCTACGCGTGCGGCTTGCATCCTACGCCACAACATCCGCCACGTACTCAACCGTAAACGGTTTGCAATCCAGCATCACGTAGCTACATACACGGCGCAAATTACGTCGGCCTCCCTTTTCTCGCTTCGGGCACGTAGGTCACGCTACCCGAGACATTGTCGCTGATCCGCAGAGCCATCCTTTGTCATTGCGCGGAGGGTTTCCTCCCGCTTGCGTTGGAACACGGGTGAGGCCAATTGTCAAACTGATGACTAACTTCGTCTGTCGATGCACAGCTCCAAACAAGTTCAAGAAACGTGGACCTATAGACTGGAGAGCTTCTCTGAATTTTGATAGCCGTGTTGGAATAACAGGCATTGATTATTGGTGCTTTTGAAGAAACGACACTCCATATCATCAGTTCTCCAACGGCAGAGAGGCAAGGACCTAGTCTCATCCCCAGTCGTCCTTTCAGCCCTGTTCACGCGTGTCGCAATTTGAATATGGTGTATATATTCCGTGGCGACGCCAGTTCGTAATACTATTGAAAGTGTGAATATACATATCATATGTAGACCAAGCTACCACAGTACCACCACTCTCATACATGTTTACCAACGTCCTCCAGCTTTATGTGTGGCCAAAGACATTGCAACCATCATAGACAATGCCAATGCTCATCATATTGATGTGCCCAAAAAAGAAGAAGAAAAAAGAGCCTCCACTGCTCTTCTGAGATCTCTTTTCTCCGGACCACTGTGACATACCAGATGTGTCCTTTCAAGTCCTTCTGACCAACATGTTGAAAATTTTAATGGACCCAAGACAAACGCTTCCCACGCATTCGGTAGCCGTTGCTGCGCAGGATGACCTTCGATGCCAACGGAAGGGTCTCATATTTCTTTGAGAATGGAGGGCCAAGGCCAAAGGCCCTGTTTGCATGAACTCTGCGCTGGCTCTTCCTCAAAAAGCCAGGCATTGCGTTGCCTTGGCCTGTCCGAGTTAAGAGTTGCAAATGCTTTCGGTCGGCCATCTAGACCCATGATGTTTCTTGTGTCGGTGTCTTTTGACTATAAATTGGGCGCTGCCTTATGTGCCTAGACTATCGCTGTTCGCATGAGTTCTTCGAAAGAAATTATGCTGCGAGTTTGTGCACAGAATGGATTGAGCCTGCAGCGCACGAGCTCTCGTTGCTTGTTCAGACTCCTCGATGCAATGCTCTGAAGTGGATGACATCGAGTCTCTTTGATTAGGTACTCCTATGTCTCTGAATAGGACCTCCGACGCCCCATTGCACAGAGTATAGTGCCTGGTCCACATATGTCGTTCAACATACAGGCGTTACACAGCATCAGGACCCCTGCAAGCAGCGGTCTCTGGTGTTGTTACATTGGCTGCCCAACCGTCCGACGCGCCACCGACATTATCCTCTGTCTTAACGTGATATGATGTGTGTACAAGGACCTCGTTCGATGTGGGCTGGAGGTTTATGTTATCCGCATGGAAGATCGATTCCTCGCTACCAGCGAAACTGTTGTTTCTGTTCTTGTGTCCGCCGATACTCGCCGCAAAGCTGCGACTCACACCGTAAGGCCTAAAGCTGTGGTGCCAGGTCGAGCTACTGCGTCCGCCGATCGTGGTCTTGCTGTAGCGTCGGGATGTGAGCCGTCCCCCATTCCAGAACTTCTTGGTGGTTACTGGGCCCAATACTGGGAGGTTGGCGGCGATGATACCAACGAGGGTCTCTCGTACGCCCCAGCGGTTGACGTTCGTACCACTCGGATTCGCACCGACAGTCAGAGTGACCCGGACGATTGCTGCTGCTATAACAAAGAAGCCAGAGCAAATGAGTATGCCGACAAAAAGCTTCCTGAAAAGCCGGATATATCAGTATAAAGGAATTTGCACATGACACTCGTGTCGTAAACCCGGACTTACTTCTTCCATGAAACTTGAAGCTGCCACAGAATCGGGACCGGGATGGCCAGGATGGCGAGGTCAGTGCTGTAGTAAGTTAGATGATAGGCCGCTGCCATAATAGAGCGGATCAAGGCTTACATGACATTGAGTATGGCGGTGACGATGAAGTTCTGCGATCTAAAGGTGCATTTGACTATAACAGCAACGTCAGCTTCTAGAGGGAGGCATGGGACTCGAAACACAAGACTAACGACCCGGATCAGGCACAACCCTAAATCAACCGTTAGTGATGATTATGGAACCAAGCTTCATTTATCTTCACTTACTGCCAGTTTTTGTCCGTAGGAAAGCATGTAAAAATAACCTGGGACTGTGTGAGCATTTTTTTTTTTTTTCGTACACGAATTCATTCCAGCAACTCACTGTGAGTAAGACGACAAAATATGATCCAGCACATATCCACATTAACCAGTTTGTAAGCCTAGCTTGCCAGAGACCCATAGTAAGTCGTTTGAAGAAGCACAGCATGACGCCTTTAAGACTCCACAGAAGCGCCGAGTACGTGAACCACGCTGTGAACTGGCATATGGATCCGATCCTATATTGGGCCACCTCTTCATCGGAAAGAGCTTTGGGATTGGGACGTTAGCGTTTGATAATCTAGTCGATATAGTTGATGAGGGTGGGCTCGACATACGACGGGTGCGCTGGAACGTGGCTGCATCAACGTTCGATCCTAAGAGGTCTTGAATTGCCGTTAATCTTTTGGTTCTGAATTCGGTATTGTATAAGCTTGACTTACATACGAGGTGAACTAGTACAGCATCACCAGTATACATAAAAACGATGATCAATGCAAACAGATCATCGCCCTGAAGACCCCTGAGGCCGACGGTCTTGATACGCACGGCGAATCGAGCAAAGAGGACCAGAATCCCTATCGCGAAGAGTGTCCATACTTCGGTTAGAAACTGGGGTCCAGAGTCAGTGATAACTATTGCGCCGAGCTGTCGCTTAATGAGGGTGCGCTGGGGATGTCATACCGTAGCTGAGCGTTCGAGTCCAGTATTGGCCATTGTGTGACCAGCTTCGGCGGGTCTAATGGCGTTATGATAGCACCGTTACAACTGGATACTCGCATGTATTTCAAGGAGCTTTGCTGCTCGCCAAATGCTCTCGGAGTCGCGCATGGGATATATATCGAGTTTTATTACTCAATGTCAAGAGGCGAGGCACCTTCAACCGAGGGACTCGAGACGCTAGGAGATCTCAAGAGACGGGGTACTGGAACTAGCAAGGACTGGCTTACAGTGCTAGTCAGGGCAGTTCCAGGCCGAACGGTTGTCGGTGTTGAAGGAGCGAGACTGGCATGGGAAGAAGCCAAGGTATACATAGCGCTGCGCAGCACGAGTTTGGACGACGATGAGGAACTGTCATCATCCATTTCAGCCTTACAGGCCGCTAATCCATGCTATTCAAGGCATTGGCTAACGACTAATGAGCCTCCGATTCGATCTGACACGAAATAGACTTTCGATCTTCATAACTAGCAGAACGGGGTGGCAAGATCGGCCCCGGAGCAAATCAGTGCACAACGTCACATTCCGTCCCGCCGGCGGCCAATTCAATATGGCAAGCTGAAAGTGTTGAAATTTTGATTTGATAAGAATGATACAGAGAGAGGACGTTCAAGATATGTTTGATTTTATCAGCAGTCTGACGCTGACCCGCTGGGTTTGGCGATATCCAACTCAAGTTGAAATTAATGCTGTGTGAAGGTCGCTGAATCTAGCTCGGTCGTAGTAACTACTGCTTACATCCACTACTATGCTCCCCCGCATCATGCTAACTTAGTTAGTCAAATGCATCCGGTTTTAAGCCGATAGAGTTTCCGCGAAGTCGAAAATATTATGCGTGGCAAGGCTGGAGGCTGTATCCTTCCAGAAGGTGATCCTGACGCACGGATGGGGAGAGCAAGGCAAAATATTTTCATGTATTTGTCATAACAGGATTCAAGATTTCCATGGAGAGCGCTTGGGAGCTACGGTGTCAGAAGACAGGATGAGTCCTTGTTCATGATTGGGATATGGAAGTTCGCATCGTGAACCTGAGCTCAACTTGCCTCGGTAACATCTGGATCGCAAGCTTGGACGCACACATTCTTTGTGACAAAGCCTCCAGTTCACTAATATCTCCCACGTTATTAATGGTTGACTGTTAGTGATTTCATTCGCCAGCTGCACCGAAGAATCGCTCTCTTGGGAGACCCAGACCGGGCTTACGGAGGAAGCGTTCACAGTTCCAATCTCACCAGGAATTCGTCTCCACCACGGAGCGTTTACCGCGCTGTGGGCCTAACGCACTATCTCATGGACCGCGCCAGCCCTATAAGATAGCGCACTCTTGTCCGCTACAAGGGAGATCACAAATACTAGCAGCGGAATCCTGCTTGATTCAGTCGTCCAGATTGACCCGTGACATACTCAGCCCAATGCAGCCAAAGCTTATATGCCAAGATAACCAGTACCGCCACCCAAAACCCCAGAGTTAACTTGTTCAGTGATCATCAATCTTCAAACTGTCTATCATAGCATTGAGTTCACAAACCAGATTCTCGTATACCGCTTGTTGCAAGCGCGGCTTTGACAAGTCGAACCCATAGCCGAAGTCACAATACAAGCACCTCTCTGTCAGCTGCTGATACCGAGGACCCAGAGTAGAGGTTTGTGACGCCAGCTTTCGGATGGCCACAACATCGTCTGGTGACTCAACTTGAGACCAGCGCCCGATCTGGAGGAGAATCGTGCCGAGGCTCCATAGGGTCAAGTTTCGGATACCATATTGGAGCATAGCCTCTTCAAATGCTTCTAGTAAGGTGCCCGGTGTGCATGATGACTCGATCCCCTCCATAGATGGCGGCTCTAGCGCAAGAGTCTCCTTATATACGAAATCCGTACTGAAATGCAGGGTCCGGAGACTTTTGCTCAGCTCAGATCCTATTTGGAAGAATGATAAATCGGCCAGGGCAAAGCAAGAACCCAACCAAGGTGTTGAGTGGAATTTCAGGACTGCTGCAACCAGGTTGCGAGCGAGTCGAAGCTGGTCGACAATCGATAGGGAATGCTCCATCGGATATCCCAGTGCCTGGCTCATGGGGGCAGGATGACATGCTTGTAGTCTTTGCGGGTCAGTGTCAGGGTAGAAGAAGTGCCTAAAGGTCTCTTCAGAACATGTGTCGAGGAACCCTAGACATCGGTTAGGTGAATTGGAGACCTGGCATGATCTGTTCAAGAACAAGGTCGAGCATATGTCTTTTCCCGATAGGTCATCCGAGTTCGTGGAAAGTCCCGAGTCTTCGGGCGTCAGCAACGGAACCGGACTTTCTGCGGCCATCAAGTTCCGGGTGACTGTGCAGTCATCTTGGAAGCGAACTTTCTGACGCTTTTGACGCCCATCATCTGAGCGTGGAGGTGTGTTGACACCTGACTCCATCCAGTCGATGACTCGTGACCGCACCTGGAAGCTTGTTACGCTAGGTTGGGTTTGATTCCTACCCAAGTATATGTGAGTTAAGCTGAGTTCCAACGAGCTCGCAAGGGTTGCCTTTCTTACCATGCGCTAGAATCATGCCCGTAGCACAAGAGTGCCATATCCATATGGACTTGGTCCTCGACCTTGGCGTCTATAAAAAGCTTCACCTTGTGCCGTAAACTTGCAGCAGAGCATGACCGCGCAGGCTTGGACCAGGCCATTGCCAATGCAAGATGGACAGCTCTCGACGCGCGTCGAACCGTCCCATAGCTACCATATTCGGGTTTCAGGCGGGTATGTGTGCTCTCTAATTGCTTCCTGGGCTTTTGGAGTTCCTCAGCCTGCTCCCGGAGCCGTCGTAGATCGTCATTGAAGGACCGCAGATCTGCAATGGAGCTATCGAAGTTCGACTTATTCCAGGTGATCTTGACTCTGTCACGAAGGCGACGCACAGCATCCTTGAGTGACTCGCCCTACCAGAATTAGCCTTTGAAGCAGTTCGTACATCCAGGTTGACATGCCTTTTGGCGTTGCGACTCGATTTCGTTGAAACAGCCCATTTCTCGCTGAAGATCCTCCATAACCCCTCCGATCTCTTCGATAATGCCAAGGCATGCCGTATAACTCTTCCCCAACGATCGCCTAAGCCCTGCTTCGAGCTCGTCGCAGCGCCATTTCGCATGGTTCGCATCTTCGACCATAGACTCAACAACAATCTCATCTTTTACCACTGACCGGATGAGTAGGTGTACCTCGTTATGGAAGAATTGCTGTTGTCGCTCCACCTGTTTGCGGACACGGCGGATTTCCCGTGCATAATGGCCATATATCTTCAATTTCTGACGCAGCGCACCGTAAGTCTTGATTGCGGCCCCTAACAGCGGCAGAACCGCGAGCGTCAGCGAGACTGGGTCCATGGCCACAATCAACACGAATTGAGTCGCAAGTATGCGATGATTATGAAGATGTCTTGCACGGAGTTTGCGGCTGAAGTGCGCATGTCAACCCATGCCTCACTCGCGGGGTCACGTGCACCATGGTTCTTCAGCCGCAGATATGTGTGCATGCAGCCAAGCGAACTCGGCAATATTTGACAACGGAACATTCAACAACAAGCACCTGGCATGAGACGTTGACCATCCTCTCAAGGCATATGGATCATTTTAAGGCGCAAGGAACTCACGATGCTAGCCTCCACATTCGCCAGTTCCTGGAGGCATCGCAGACTGGTCACGGAATTGAAAGGCCAGATGAGAGATCTCCTGCAGCAAGGCTATGCGCTGAGACCCTAGCACTTTTTGCCGAAGCCGTCAGGACTCTGTCAAAGGGAGAAAATCGCGGTATCTCGAATTCGAATCGGATCAGCCTCGAGCGAAGCTTCGGGAGATTGAAACTGTGGTCAGATGGCCATGGCATAGCTCGTGGTGACGTCGATAAGACTTTTGAGGGATCACGGAAATTACGCCAGGCTTCCCTAAAAATCCTTGGAAGTATCGGTGTTACATTAACAGAACGTGAGTAGTCCTCCAATACGAGGGCCTGAGTAACTATTCTCAGCCTGGCTCAACAACGCCCTCATTGAGCTCAGAGAGACTTTCCTAACCGAGATCTAGGACTTGTACCGCAACTGATTGACGGATCTACTGTAGTGGACCATACAAAACTTATCCTTCTAGTGCCTGAAGTGAAGCTCCTTCTAGGAGCCATCGAGGACGAAGATGGCGACTCGAGCTCCAGTGATGATATATCAAATCTTGGCGACGATAGCATCCGCGAGATCTTGGAGGATCTTCACACTGATACGATATGCTTGATGGAGCTTGAGCCGCTTCTCAAAAACCCCATCCTCGATTTTATTAGAGAACCCGATAACCTGGCAACAGATGGTGTTACGACGGCGTGGCTCCCGCATAAGACTTTCTGTGATAGAATTGAGAGCCGATTCCCACAAGCTTCGCCCTTGCTTATAACTCGTTTAGGCAAGGCTAACTACGAGAGATATATCAGGTGCCAACAACAACGCGATGCGCAACTGAACAACAATGTTTCAAACTTGCCCATGGCTAGTGGAGGTACTATTGATGGTTCAGAATTCAATGATTCTGGCATTGGCTCGTCACTACCAATGACATCATCGTATGCGGAAACAGTGATGTCTTACGGCGACGGGAAAGATCGCTCTACTCGAATTCCTCCCTTGCCGACAGAAGGTAGAAAAGGTAAGCCATTTGAGTGTATTGCGTGTGGAAGATCAGTTCGCATCATGAACAACTCGGCCTGGAAACTGCATCTGTATGGGGATCTGCAACCGTGGGTGTGCCTCGACGCGTCTTGTGTTCGTGGAGAGACTACGTATGGGAATCGAAACGATTGGATCTCCCATCTTGTCCTTGGTCATGGCTTGGGACCTGCGTGGGAATCGTTGGACTGCCCGCTGTGCCATGCCGTTATCGAACCGGGCAAAACCTCCATTACCAAACATCTCGGTGGACATCTTGAAGAAATTTCACTGGGCGCTCTTCCTTCCGGGACTAATTATGAAAGCGAAGTCGAGGAGGACATTTTGGAAGCCAGGCGGAAAATCTCGGCTTTCATACAAACCTTAGATCAGGTACCCTCGGCGGAGGATATAGAACGGATCACACTGGACATTAATAATCGAATCGAATCCCAGGAGGACATTTTGGAAGCCACTCAGGAAATCTGGGCTATGTTACAAAAGAGCAGAGATCAGTTAAGTTCGGCGGAGGATATGGGACGGATCATATTGGGCGCTCTTCCTTCCGGGTTTGATAATCAAAGCGAAGCCAGGGAACTCCTTTCGGAAGCCAGCCGGAAACTATCGGCTATAGAAAAAACTTGCAAAGTTACGTGCGTCTGGGTGGAGGATATCGAACGGAAATTTCTGGACTCTAGGGCTGAAAAATGCGCAACCTGTCAAGAAGATCATGAGGACGTGCCATCAACTCTCGATGCGCATGGCAGCAATCAAGACTTCAAGTCAGGAATTCATGAAGACGGCCCAGCGGACAGTAACATTGTATCCATTCCTGCGGCGGACCTTTCTGACTCAGTGGAATAGGATCAATACGTGCTCAAATGTGCGTGCGGTGTTGCAGATGATGATGGTAACACAATATACTGCGAAAACTGCGATACTTGGCAACACATCGCCTGCTACTATCTTGATACGGACATGCAGGAAGTCCTTTCGGAGCATTTCGATCACTCGTGTGTTGACTGCAAGCCTCGACCAATCGATCGCCAAAGAGCACGCAGCATACAACAACGGGTGAAACAAGAGCGGGACGCTTTCCATCGAGAGCGAGACACTGTCCACGAGGACAAAATCAAGGATAAAGGCTCAAGGAAGTTCGCATACCTACCCACTCCCCACAGCTCTCGTGAAAGTAGGGCAGCGAGGCATCGAGCAAGCGGTAGCAATGCCGGGGAGCCTGATAGCGCTGTCGATGACGATGAGCCTCGCTACTGCGACTGCAATGGAACCTCATATGGCGAAATGATAGCCTGCGATGCTGATGACTGTCAGAAGGAGTGGTTCCATATTGGCTGTGTTGGGCTGACGTCGGTGCCAAGTGCCAACGGTATGTGAACATTTCATATCCCCGAACGGATTTCGGCATGAGTACATTGTCTAATGCTTTCCAGAAAAATGGTACTGCAAAGATTGCAGCAGTCGGATGGAAAAGAAAGAGGCCAAACCCCAGATAGCGGTGTAGTATGTTCGGAAACAGACTGGTTCTAATCCTACTCAAGACCCGTTGGATCTTAGGTTCTACATTTGATGGAGATATCTGGGTATCAGGGTCGTAAAGATGGTCGGCCGGATTGACTCAATCCAGCTTGGGCTTACTGTTAATGGCTTGACACTTTCCCTTGACACAAAGAGGACTATGGACTTGGTTTCCTAAGCTTGTTCAGTCAACACACTTCTATGGTTTTGAGGATGTATCAAGCTGGGCCTTGAGGTTGTACAGCTTGCGTTGCCAGGCACTTCACGCTGACAGATAAGAAGCAAGCTATACCGAGAATTTTGGATAGCACAGGTCACAATCTGGTAATGCAGCATTGCTCAGGGGACATATGAACACAATATACAGTATGTTTATACCATTTTGTGCGCGACACATTAGTCAATATCTATATCAATAAATTTTTCTGTGCGGTGGTTGCATATCGAAGCCGAATCTAACAAGAGAGAACCCCAATGCTGCACACCGGTTGTTTATACACATAACTAGGTCTTGGTCACACAGTATGTATACATAATATCTATAATGATGAATAAGCATTATAAATTTCATTAAAGCGTTACTAGAGCTTGGAAACCAAGTCATCTATCTGCCCAGTCAATTGACCTTTCCATCCGGAACTCCTCATTGTAACCGTTCATTATTCACCAGGGCTTTCCTACCCTCTCGATCCCCTTGTACGTCATCACTTAGCCAATCGCATACCCTTCCCGGTCGAGCCAGACCCTTTGCATCAGGCTCATACGTGTCTCACCAGAAAGACGCTCACCGGACAGGACTCGGGACATCCACGCTCCCATGAATCAAGCTCTCCAGCTCCCAAGGGCTCAGCGTGCTTCGCCGCCTTGAGACGACCTTGCTAGTACGTCTTTCACGCCTCCGCTTCTCTACTGGTCTCAGATGGACAGGAGTTCCTTGTGGCGGTTCGGCCGGCCTGGAAAGTTCGTCTTCATTGGGATCCACCGCTGCCGGCATGTCCTTCTTTACCGGGTCGGTATCCTCCTCTGGCACCGATGTTGGCTGTGAAGAAGGCACTGGGGTCTGCTTTCGACCCATTCGTGCCGCTTTGAGCTTGGCACGCACGCGCGCTGCGTCGGCATCACGTTCTGAGGCTGCCAGCTTGGCCTGGATCGTCGCGATGGTGATGGGGCTTTGCTCAACTGCGGGCGCATTGCGCCGCGGCAATCGTGAGTTGACTGGTGGCCGAACAGGTGACCTGTTCCGGGCTGTACTGGTGGACTTTGACGGGGCCTTGTCCTCATGCCGTGCAGGCTTGTCGGTAGCCGGATCTGGCGCTGAGGCTGTCCTTTGCGGAGGGTTCCTCGAGGATGTTGGCTGAGCCGTCCCTGTGGGTGACACCGCTTTCGATGCGTCGTCGGGTTTCTTCGCCTGTGAGGGCCTGACCACTGGTTCTGGATGGGACCTCGGGGGCCTTGCCTGTAAGGGGTCCGGCTTCTCAGCCGTAGGCGAAGCTGCCGGTGATGGTTTGGAGAACAAGAGACGAGAGGGGTTTGACCGGATCGGAGACTCGTAGATGTCTCCGAACAAGGTGCTGTCGGAAGAGTTGATTGACGAGGGTCGAAGTTGCTCCTGTGGCTCAGGTACCTTCAGAGACAGATGGGGCGACCCCGGCTTAATTCGATGGGGCGGAGGTTCAGGCGCTTCGCGAGCAGCAGCAGCAGCTTCGATCTCGAGTGTCCTCTCTTCCACAATCGTAGTAAAATCTCCGCGCCGTTTTCGGCGATTGCCTGACGAGTAGGAGTCTTTCAAGGGGCTCAGCTGAGGTGGAATCGGAAGGGGTGGCGAGTCCATCGAGTTGGCCATGATTGAGGTAGCCATCGAGGAGCCGTTTGATTGCTGGAGGATCTGGATGTTGGGCTCCTCGCTTTCCAGGTCGTCCATGTCTACGTCATCCTGAAATATGCTGGAGTCCGAGTCTTCGTGTTCTTCTTCGGCCTCATAGCCCGGTGCTGGCACGAGATGCAGCGACTCGGCGGGGCTTGGTGACTGAGGAGGTCCAAGTTGCGACACGTCCTCGTCCTCCTCTTGAACGCACGATAGCTCCTGGTAATGCATGTCCTGGTCTTCCATAGGCTCGTCAATATCCTTCATGCGCACCGGACTCAGGCGCAGTCCCATTTGAAGCTCCTCCATGTCGACCGACTTGCCGCTGGAAACCATACGTCTCCGCCAACCATCCATCATCCGCACAGCATCCTTCCAGCGCGCTTCCATTCGCTCCCAGCCCTCACGTAACCGGATGATCTCGGTCTCGCGCACCTCGACTTCCTCGATGGGCACGAATGACGGGTTTGTGAGAATCGTCCTAAGATGCTCCATGATGACCGACATTTCGTGGACCAGTTCATCCGCGCTCTTCTGCGGTGGAGGAAGACCGTCCGCACTTGCGATGGGTGGTTTCATGCCCTCGTCTAGTAGCTTCTCTAAGCCACTCATCTCACGCAGGTTGTTTGCGGTCCGCCGTGCGAGATCGATGAGGGTTGAATTCTCCTCACTCAAGCTCTTGGCCAGCTCAGTGAGGAACTCGTTGGTTTCCATCCGCAGACTGTACCCCTCGTCGTCGGTGCCGCCCTTGGCAACGCCTTCCTCTCTGTATTCGGCGCCAGTGTCGCCCACGACCGTGATAGTCACGACGTCGCGGTTCTTGCCGCCTCCGCGGGTTCGTCCGGCATCTACCACAGCCTTCTTCAGGTTGTCGATTTGTCGGTCTCGCTTCCGGACCTCGTTGGCGCAGGCGGCCCGGCTCTGGGCAACCAGTGTCTTCATCTTGGCCATCTCATCTTTGAGCTTGTGCACTGTTGACTCGGTGGACTTGAGCTGTAGACGTAGAGCGCGCTCGGTGGCGTCGGCGCCGTCCACCTTCCGCTGTGTTTCGGCGACTTTCTCCAACAGCCGCGTGTTCTCGGTGGTATGTCGCTGCGCGTCGGCGCGGAGGGATAGTAGGGTGTTGCTGAGGGATTCGCGCTGGGCGGCATCGCGCTGCACAAGGTGTTAGCTGCTTGCTTGCTCGGGGACGGATGGCAGGCGGGCAGAGCAGCGACATACGTCACGCCGGAGAATCAAGTCATTGACGACGCTCATGATCCTCCCCATGGTTGCCTGCAACCCCGCACCGGCCTCCGGGTTGGCAAAGTCGATGCTCTGGCCATCGCGCAGGAGGCCGCGGGACAGCAGCTGGTTGTTGATGTACAGCGAGGCCGTACGGATGTTGTCGGGCTCGACCATGGCGGGCTCACGACGCGTTTCCTGCCGCACGCAGAGGGACGCGGATCTCAATCTCGGGGTAGAACAGCGCAGTCGGTCGCGGATAACTACGAGTCGTACAAGCTCAGGCGGGTGGATAAGTCCGGGTGCATCTGGTCGCGCGAACTGCGGTTCTTCGGAGCGGTGAGGGCGCAGACGATGCCGATTGAGTTTACCATATATTCTCGCCCCCTGACGATGAAAATCCGAGGCCTGATACGGATTGCACGGCAGCAACCGAGCTATTGAAAAAGGGCGACAGGGTCTATATGCGATTAAGCCCCGGTCGGGAAGCAGCTGCGGTGGGCTACCTACTTAGCTAAGTAAGTCGAGTCGACTTATGATGGTGTGGATGTCTGTCCCAAACTTCTCGTGGGGTGGGATGCCCATGTTTTGGCGCCGTTGCTATGCGGCGCCAGGGGTCCAAAGTAAACAACGCCAACACGTACTGTGTATCCCATCCTGCCCGTCCAATGGGCCAATGGGCAGCCCGCCTGCGAACCCAATGCATACACAATCACGTGTAACGTGCTCATTGAGCGACGTCTTCCCCTCGCACATGTCCGTTGCGTTGGGCATCAACATTGATGTGCTTCCGGCCACTTGATGACTGTCTTGTTCGCGATAATCCAAGGCATCTCCTTGCAGGACACTGACAGTTGCCACGGGCCTTGCAGCCTCGATTGGCCAATCGCCCCATTCTGGCCAGGGGGCCAGCCGAAGAGCCTAATTAATCCATTCCGAATTTTTTCGAGGCAAGCAACATGCATCTAATACGTAGTCGCAAGCCGCCTTCACGTTCCAGGTAACCCAATGAGGCGATCCGTCGTCTGCGAGCCCACTTTTGGGGCTCCTTTGGGGCTCTTTGGGGGCTCTTCCTGCTCCATGGGTCCCTGCACTACTGCACTTCCGAGACTCTATAGAGCTGCTATCCTGGTCTAAACGGGCCTGTCCCCGCGGCATCGTTCCCGCACCCCTCCGTGTCGCCGTGCGCAGCAGACAGATGGCCTTCGACTACTGTCAAGGGTTTGCTAGTTCAAACCCGAGCGCTTTCTCATGGTCATGCCTGTCTCGGCGGACTGTGAGGCTGATTCATAGCTTCATGGCTGCCATATCACCCCGAGCATCACTGGCTAATTCCGCGTGCACCTCTCCCCCCTTTTCCACCACTGTGTTAGCCCCGATGCATGGATCTTTCCCAATTAAGCCCGAGCGCAATGTCTCCTAAAGGCTGATGTCAATCTATACTCCGGTTTCGATAGCAGTGGTCCTACAATTAATGTAGAGGTTACGATTTCTAGCAGTGAGTTTGAGTATCTCTTCTGTCGACCAAGAAGAGCAATTGACTCAACCTGCCACGGAGCGCGCAGCACACTTGTTTGACTCTGCTTGTCGGAAGGGGGGTTTAGCCACCTTGCGTGCTACTGGAGGTAAGGGGACACCCACAAGACGCTCATCGCCCAATGATTGCAGAGTTGAACAATCTGGTATGCAGTAAGATAAGCATGCTCACCAGCTGATTCAAAAACCCCTCTCTCCTCTCCGTTTTCAATGAAGTCATCTATGAAACGCAGTATATCAGTTTTGCAGCAACTTTGGACCTCATTTACGTCCTTCCCTATTCCTCACGAGGTTGAAGCGGCCGTAGCAAGAGGGCCAAGATGGTGGCTTCAGCAGCTACTGCCATTTTCCTCACAATACTACTAGTTTTGATCCACAGGTTGAGCAAAGTCGGCCAAAGACCGAAAGGGTACCCTCCCGGCCCGCCGACGCTCCCTATTCTTGGGAACATTCACCTGCTTCCCAAGGAGAAGGGCCACCTTCAGTTCCAAAAGTGGGCAGAGGAGTATGGCCCCGTATACTCGCTGATGCTGGGAACCAAGGTGATGATTGTGCTCTCATCGGACCAGGCCATCAAGGATTTGTTAGATAAACGTAGCAACATTTACTCGTCCAGACCAGAAATGTACCTCGGCCAAATCATCAGTGGCGGGTTCCGCATGTTGCTGATGGTGCGTGTCTGACCGCTCTGAACCATGGTGGCTTATTGATCGACCTGTGAAGGCATCAACACTGACTCGCGAACCAGGAATATGGAGAAACATGGCGCATGATCCGAAAAATTGTGCATAACAATCTGAATATCAAAGCGTCGCGTACCTATGTGCCCTATCAGGACCTGGAAAATAAGGCCATGCTTATGGGTTTCCTCCAGACGCCCAACCTATTCGTTGACCACATTCGTCGTTATACAAACTCTCTGACTACTCAGATGATTTTCGGTTTCCGCACCACAAGCATTGACGACCCCAAGCTCAAGCAGCTCTTCCATGTATGTTGACCTCACTATCCTCAGGAGAGTGCCACGATCGCAGCCGTCACTGATCTCGCAAAAGGGGTTCGAGAAGTTCTGTGAGGTCACCGGCACTCAGACGGCAGCACTCTTAGACGTCTTTCCGTTTCTCCGCTACCTCCCCGATGCTCTCCTTCCTATGAGAAGATACGCCAAGGAGCTTCATAGCAAGGAATACGACCTGTATGTAGGTCATTACTTAGACACCAAGAAGAAACTCCGAGATGGCCGAGCGAAGCCGTGCTTTTGCGTTGACCTGGTAAAGGCACAGGATGAAGAAGGATTTTCTGATGGGATCGCCGGTTATGTGAGCGGATCACTGCTTGAAGCAGGCTCCGACACCACATCTGCGACTCTGGTAGGCTTTGTACAGGCGCTGATGATCTTTCCTGGAGTTGTCCAAGCGGCACAGGCCGAGCTGGACACCATATGCGGAGAACGGCTCCCCGACTTGAATGATCTGCCCAACCTCCCCTACATTCGAGGCTGTATGAAGGAAAGTATGCGATGGATGCCGACTGATATCCTTGGTGTGCCGCACGCTGTGATTCGTGACGATGAATACATGGGATACAAGATTCCTAAAGGAGCGGGGGTCATGTGGAATGTCTGGTAAGAGCATTTTCTCTGACAGCGTCCTACTGGTGAAATAAGAGCTGAGACTCAGACTTCAGGGCTGTAGCGAACGACTCTCGAAGGCACCCCAATCCGCGAGAGTTTGATCCCACTCGTTGGGCAAACGATCATCAGACATCGGCCGAAGCAGCTTCCAACTCGGATCCTACCAAACGTGATCATTTCGTTTTCGGTGCTGGCCGGCGTCTATGCCAGGGAATGCATATCGCAGACCGCTCGCTGTTCCTCGCAATCTCGCGTCTTCTTTGGGCCTTTGACTTTCGCAGGCCCGTTGACGAGACAGGCCAGGAGATTGTACCTGACATGGCCGATCTGACCGAGGGACTGTTCGTGCTGCCGAAACCATTCAAGGCTATTATCACACCACGAAATACCGCGAAGGCTGAATGCATCCGCCACGAGTGGGCGAAAACCGAAGCAGATCTTCTGGATGACGAGCTTCAGTGGAAGGTGGTCCCTGACGGCTTGATCTGGAAGGATTATGAACCAGCTGAAACTGAGTAGGTGTCCAATGTCCAAGAAAACGAACTTTAGCAGATACAGTTGGGATACATTCAGTCACTTAGCGACGGGTACGCAATATTACATTAAAATGCCATAAAGGAAGAGGCCATGGACAGTTTGAATCAACGGACTTACATAGACTTTCGGCCGAAGCGTAGACTTCCGTCGGTGAACTCTGCTCCTTCCATGCTCAACTACGAACTTACCAAGTAAGCAAAAACCTGCCATGTTCTCAATTCTGTTAGATAAATAAGTGCTAGTAACCACCAGACTAAGTTGTTTAAAGCATTGAAAAGGGGGTAGTGGCCTTTAAAGAGCTGCTGCGATAAATCATCCGTGGTCAGTTGGGTATTATGGAGTATGATGTATGGGTCAGACGGCAGCAAAGTTGACGATGAATATCTAAGGAGGTCTTCATGCACGCTGTGTTACGGCCACCTGCAGAGTGACGGCGCATACCCCTCCCTGTCCTGGACGCGTAGAGGGGTCGAAGTGCATAGTACTCCACCCGGCCTCCAACATATAAAGTCGTAGTTGTTGGAGCATTTCAAAATGTTCTTCTGAAGAACATTTTCTATCAGGCTAGTCGTAGCTTGATGCAAGTCGCCTATCTTTCAGCCGCTTTTGTTGGCGCTTTTCGTCTCCTATCTCTTCGGCTTGGTAGTCAGATCTTCCGAGGCGGCGAAGAACATTCATACTATTTCACAACTCTTGAAATCTAACTACTCAAAGTGGTAGAAATGTCCTCCCAGACTATGAAAGCTTTCAGGCTTGTGGCATGGGGCCAACCGGCTCAATTTGTCACGGTACCTAAGCCTGTTCCTGGACCTGGTGACATTCTGGTTCGAATGAAAGCGGCGGGACTCTGCCGATCTGATCTCGACATGGTCGACAGCCAATCGGGCTCAGGTCCCTACGCAAATGCGCTCGATCCGGGGTTCATACTCGGCCACGAAAATGCAGGATATGTCGCCGAGCTAGGCGTGGGCGTTAATGACCTCGAGGTTGGAGAAGCTGTCGTTGTACATCATATTAGGCACTGCTCGAACTGCGAATACTGTACGACTGGCGTAGAGAACCACTGCGAGGCATACAAGCGAGGTGCTATCTCCACGACTAGGGGCTGTGGTGTTGATGGTGGGCTGGCGGAATATTTGCTAGTGCCTCGAAACGAGGTCATCTCCATTGGCGATGCCGATCCCGTTTTGTATGCTCCGCTCACTGATGCTGCAGTCACAGCATACCACGCGATTCAGACAGCGGTCGAGAGGCTGAAACCTGGCACGAGTGCGGCCATCATCGGTATTGGTGGACTAGGGTCATACGGAGTGCAATTTATCAAATTATTGACATCGGCCGATGTCATCGCCATTGACACGGCCCAGAAACGCCTCGAGGTGGCCCGCGAACTTGGCGCAGATCATGCGGTTCTCTTCGAGAACGACGGCGACACTGCTCAGGATGAGATCATGACGCTTACCAACAACAGGGGCATAGATGTCACCGTCGATTTAGTTGGCACTTCTGCGACGTTGCAACTTGCTGCGAGGATATCCCGCCCCCAAGGCCGGATCGTGCTTGTTGGCCTGGAGGGCGGATCGCTGTCCGTGGGCTGGGGTTTACTAACTACCGGTTGCGAGTTTGTAATTAGTCTGGCAAGCACTCGTCAGGAACTCAGGGAGGTGTGTGAGCTTCACAAGCGCGGCAAATTGAGAACTGACATCCAGAAATTCGCCTTCAATGATGTCCAAAAAGCATATGATGAACTCAGAGCTGGCAGATTGACTGGGAGAGCAGTTGTGGTTTTTCCTTGACGGATGGGTCTTTGTGTATCCTCAAGGGGAAATTGGTCTCGATATTTGACTCGGAGACATAGACTTAGCTGAATCTTTTGTTCTTGCCTTGCTGAAGTATACCACACACAAGGTCCTCAACGCATTGGCATTAGGTGCCTTGAGTTGCCACATCTTTTATTGTCGTCTGCGTAACCGTACGCAATCCGAATTGACCACTCGGCCTTTTTCTAAATCCATAGCCGATGTCAGAGTCAAGCTGCGACAAGGCTATAACCCCATGACTTAACTCTGTCTCAATAATTGGAGGCTTTGTTGGCGTCCAAAGTATTGATGATGTTCTCAACGGCTTTGACGATGCAATTTTTCTTCCACGAGAATACCCATGTGCCCCAGAAGCAACCACGGTATTTTCTTTCGCCTCCCTTCCTTCCAATCACATTGTGTCCTGGCGGATTCGGGTCCTTCTCGTCACTTATCCCTTCGCAAGCCTGATTAGAGACATCCATCCGCCATATGAGAAACAAGCAGGAAGATAGACCCCGATGCTCCTATATGGCGCATAATCCGTCTCGCTTCCCGGAACGAGATTGTGCGCTTAATACTTGTCAGAAGGCGTGTGCGAAGGTCTCCCAATGTACGGCATAGAGGACCTCGGTCATTGCCCCACCCTATAATGCCTATCTACATAACCTAGTAGCCCCGATATCTCCAGGCCGATCCCGGCGCTAGCTCTGCCAAATTCCGGGGCCACTTGATGAGCACCGATTACTACTTACAAGACGTCATCCCACGCTTCTTTCCTCTGCTCGTCGCTCTTCTTCAATGTAGCTCTCAATGGCCGCCGACCTGAAGCAGAAGCCGGCAGAGGCCAGCCAGAGCAAGAACTACAAAGGCTTCGTGGCCGGCGTGTTCTCCGGCATCGCCAAGCTGTCCGGTATGTTTTGCGCCCACAATCTCAGCACGGCACAGATCCTTCGCTGCGATTGTAAACTCTAAAGAGTCGAGAGTTGCTGACAACAAATCCCGAGTAGTGGGCCACCCCTTCGACACTATCAAGGTCCGCCTCCAGACCACCGACGCGTCGCGCTTCAGCGGCCCCGTGGCATGTGTCGCGCAGACCCTCCGCCATGAGGGCGTCCGGGGCCTGTACAAGGGGGCGACGCCCCCGCTGGTCGGCTGGATGTTCATGGACAGCGTCATGCTCGGCTCGCTGACCGTCTACCGGCGCCTGCTCGCCGAGAACGTTTTCAGCCAGCACATTCCCCGGCTGCCGCATGCCGACCGGGCGGCGGCCGACGGCAAGCAGCCCATCGCGGGCACTTCGGATGCCGTCGCGCATCTGCCCTCGTACGGCCACGGGATCGCGGGCATCATGGCCGGGGCCACTGTATCCTTTGTCGCCGCGCCCGTGGAGCATATCAAGGCGCGCCTGCAGATCCAGTATTCGGCCAAGAAGACGGAGCGGCTGTATACGGGGCCCATCGACTGCATGAAGAAGATATACGGCGCCCACGGGATTCGAGGGATATACAAGGGACTGGCCGCGACACTGCTGTTCCGCTCGTTCTTCTTTTTCTGGTGGGGCTCCTACAACGTCTTCTCCCAGCTGTTGAGGGACCGCACATCCCTCAGTGCGCCAGCCATCAACTTCTGGGCCGGCGGGCTGAGCGCGCAGGTTTTCTGGATCACCAGTTACCCGAGCGACGTCGTCAAGCAGCGTATCATGACGGATCCGATGGGAGGCAAGCTAAATGACGGCACCCCGAAGTTTAAGGGGTGGTCTGATGCTGCCAAGGCCGTGTATAGGGAAACGGGCTGGAAAGGATACTGGAGAGGGTTTTTGCCGTGCTTCTTGAGGGCTTTCCCTGCCAATGCCGCGGCTCTGGTTGCATTTGAAGGCGTTATGAGACATCTCCCTTGAAACTTGTGCAGTTATTAGACTTAGACATAGATTTGGCCGGATGAACTGTACCATTAGTGGGAAGTTGTAATGAAAGATACCACTCAGCGGAATATACATCCTAGCATTATTACACTTCGACTCTGTGACGAGATCCATTTGTTATGTCATTCCCTTTACTATCTACGCTAGAATTAATCTCTCGACGAACGCTGTAGCGCTCCACTATGCTTGCAAAGCAGTCTCCTCACGATTGGCATGGCTGCCCCTCTTCCAGCTGTCAGTGTGGTCCTTCATGTCCCGCTGGACCTTCTTCTCTCCAACCTTGCCCCAACCGCCGCCTCCCGGAGTGTTGATGATTATTCTGTCCCCCGCTTTGAATGGGGCGCTGTTCTTGGCGCCCATGTTGATATACCGTTCTTCATACTCAACATCTGCGCTATCCGAGGTCGCATGTCCCTGCGCAACGGCAAGGTCCTTCTCCGGGTTGCTCTTTGCCACCCTCCTTACCCAGATATTGAGACCACACTGAGCGTCCTCGCCCCCTGCGAGGCCATACGGCCTGTATACTCTCCGCTCGCTGAGGATCGAAACCTGGACAGGTATGCGGAATTCGATGTCACGGACGACACCGTCTCCGCCATTGTGCTGTCCTTTCCCACCCGAGCCCTTGCGCAATGAAAACTCTCGCAAGAGAACGGGATACCGCCTCTCAAACACCTCCGAGTCTGTTATGCGGGTATTGGTCATGTGTGTGTGCACGCCCGATGTACCCTCCCAGTCTGGACCAGCACCCGAACCACCTGCAATAGTCTCATAGTATCCAAATCCTTTAACTTCCTTCTCTCCGGTGACATTACCACCAAAGCCAAAGGTCAAGTTGTTGCAGTCACCCTGCGATGCGGCACAAGCCTGGAAAGCCTTGAAGATAACGTCGGTAACACGCTGGCTGGTAAGAACATTCCCACCCACGACCGCAGCCCCTGTGGACGGAGAAAGCAGCGACTTTGGCGGGATCTTGACGTTTATAGGTCTCAGACAGCCTTGGTTCAGAGGGATATCCTCCGAGATGAGACATCGCAAGCAGTAGATGATAGCTGAGTAAGTGACAGCTTCCGGGGCGTTCACATTTCCGTACACCTCAGGGCCTGTGCCGTCAAAGTCGAAGATTGCTTCACCTTTCTCGGCATCGATGGTGACGCGAAGGCGAATGGGACTCCCATCATCCATGAAATCTACCGCGGACAGATCTTTGCCCTCGAACTTCTTGGAGACTTTCTTCAGAAGCTCTCGTACGCATTTCTCTGCGTTCTTCTGAATGTTGACCATGTAAAACTGTACCGTATCCTCACCATACTCATCAATCAAACCTTCGATGAGCGAAATTCCCTTCTGGTTAGCCGACACTTGGGCTCGGAGATCGTTGATGTTGTCTGCCAGGCATCTTGTGCCGCTGCAGCCGGGATACTGAGCCGGCTCGTTGTACAGCAATTCGGTTATTCGCTTCTCATTAAACTTTCCCTCGCTGACAATCTTCTCGCTCTTGATCGCAGCACCCTCCTGGAACAGCTCCCTAGAGTGTGGTGGCATGCTACCAGCCGTGATACCTCCAATGTCGGCGTGATGTGCCCGCGATGCTGCATAAAAGAGGATCTTATCGCCCTTTTCATTGAATGCCGGCATCAGAAGCGTTATATCGGGCAAGTGGGTACCACCATAAGACGGGTGATTTGAGATAATGACATCTCCTTTTTTCAACTTGCCTTCCCAGATCTTGGCCTGTGTACGTACGCATGTCGACATTGATCCCAAGTGAACAGCTTTGTTAATATAGATTAGCAGGAAATCCCCATCGAGGAGATTGAGACTTACGAAGATGTGGTGCGTTAGCTACCAGTCCACCGCCTGCGTCGAAGATGGCACACGAGAAGTCCAACCGTTCTTTGACATTGGTGCTGACACTAGTCTTTTGGAGAGCCCGGCCCATTTGCTCTGCAATAGCCATGAATCTGTGGCCGAAGATGCTGAGCAAGATTGGGTCAACTTCCCGTTTGGACATATCGGAATCCTTATGTGAACTAGAAGACAAGTTAGTGATTGTAGCATTGAAGAGAGAGAAGAGAAAATGTCCGGCAAGTAGAGGACAAGATTGCATATAGCACCTACTCATCTTTACCTTCCTGCTGAAGGTCAATGATAACGTGGGTCTTCAGGATCAGTGCCTTGGTTTTCGGGGTGACGACAATGGTTTGTGTTCCATCCGCCAACATAGCCGGACCCTTGATCTCATCCCCAATTGACAGATCCTTTAACTTATAGATTGGGGTATCCAACCTGCCGCCCTCGAAGTATACCTGAGACTGGCCGTGAGCCGACTTGCCTTCCGCACTGTGACGCTTGACGCTCTTGAGCTGCTTATCGACAGTCTCATCCTGGTATCTGAAACTCTTGCCGATACCGCGGACGCGCACATCATCTACGATGATATCCCTTTCGTCGAGTGTGAAACCAAATTCATACCGATGATGCTGGACGAACGCCTCGCCAAAGTCCCATTCCTTTGTGTTGTTGTCACCAGTAGGCTTAATTATCATAAGCGCCGACTCTGTGCCTCGATATCGCATGTTGAGATACTCCTCGAAAACAATATCCTCGTCGGTAAAACCTTGATCTTCCAGAGCCTGTCGGGATTTGTCCTTGAGTTTGTCCATCTTGGATTTAAGCTCATTGACGGCCTCTCCTTCAGCTTGCCAAACCTTGGATTCCGGCTCTTGTCGCTCATCGACGACATCGGCCAAGGCCATACCATATGCTGACAAGACAGAAGAATATCTGTGTACGAGGATCTGTTTGATTCCAAGTGCCTCGGCAATGGCTACGGCATGTTGGCCACCAGCACCACCGAACGTCGCTAGTCTGTGTTTTGATGAATCGTGCCCCTTCGCCTCAGTAATGGACCTAATGGGTCTTGTCATTGCCTCGTTAGCAATCGTCAGGAAGCCATACGCGACCTCATCGAGGGTCATATTCTTGCCGGTCTCCTTGTTGACCTGATCTGTAAGCTCTTGAATGACCTTCTTGCTGGCCTCTACATCCAGACCCTCGTCCTCATTCTTTCCAAAGATCTTGGGGAAGAACTCGGGTAATAGACGACCCAGGAACAGATTGGCGTCGGTGACGGTGGCAGGCCCACCTTTCCGGTAGCAAGCTGGTCCAGGATGTGCACCAGCGGATTCGGGACCGACAACGAATAGACCATTCTTGAAGAATAGTCGGCTTCCGCCACCAGCGGCGACGGTGTTGATGTCCAGCTGAGGCGACTGTATTGTGACGCCGGCTGTGGTGGTTTCAAAGACATGCTCGTATCTGCCTTCGCCATACCTCGAAACATCTGTTGAAGTACCACCCACTGGTTCGATTGGTTAGATATGCACGGGATTTCAGAGGTTATTTGTCAAACTCACTGTCAAAGCCAATGACAGGCACCTTCGTCTCGTCATCATAGCTCGTGATTGCATAGCCAACAACTCCGCCCGCCGGACCTGACAGGATCGCTTTTAAGCCTGTGAACTTTTCCACGTCCACTAACCCTCCATCGCTCTGCATAAACTCGCAGCGGGCACCTTTGCTGCCCTGTTCATCTAGCACGCTCCTTGTCCCCAGGCCACCCTCGAAGCCTTTCTGGAATCCGGAGATATATTTCTTGATCGCAGGTGTGAGGTATGCGTCGGCACATACGCTCGTCGCTCTTGAGACCAGCTTGATCATGGGCATGAGTTCGTGACTCAGCGAGATGTGCTGGAAGCCGACCTCTTTGGCAATTCTACCAATCAAAGCCTCGTGATCTGGGAAAGTGTAACCATGCATCAAGCAAACCGCTACGCTTCTGATTCCCTTATCGTGGATTGCCTTGAGCTGTAGCCGGATGCCTTCGTCCTCAGGCCGGCGCAAAACACGGACGGCTTCGCCGGAGAGTCCCATTACTACATCGGCTTTTGCTGACCCTTCTCCTCCGGCCTTTGCGTCGGCTTTTGTCAAGTATCTTTGGGGATCTTCTGCATAGTCCTCCAGTGTAACCCTCTCGTCGATTTCGATAACCTCCTCGTAGAGAACATCGGGTTTACGAATCGCCAAGTCGAAGATCTTCGGCCTGCTCTGGTTCCCAATGGCTAAGCAATCCTTGAAGCCCTTGGTGACAACGAGGGCAATGCGCTCGCCTTTGCGCTCCAGAAGTGCGTTGGTTGCGACGGTCGTGCCCATTCGTATGCTATCGATCTTGGACGTGTCGAGAGGCTCGCCGCGAGGAATGTCCCGGTCGAGGAAATGGCTCATGATGCGACGAATGCCCTCGAGCGGCGCATCTTCGTAGTTGGCCGGGTCTTCGGATAGGAGCTTGATCACGACATCTTCCCCGTTCAAAGTACCGACGCAGTCGGTGAAGGTGCCACCTCTGTCGATAGCAATGCGGATGCCGCGTTCCTGTGTACTTGTCGACCCCATGTCTACGGTTGAATCCGCGGCAGAGGCGGCTGACGGGTTGGAGAGAGCAATCAGGAGCTCTATAGACAGCCGGTGTCCGCGGTAGGGTCGGGATCAGAGTCTTATCGGGAGAAAGGCAACCAAGCGAAGGCAATTGAGTGTCTCCTTGCACTGGCGCAATGGTCCCAAAGCTGACCGAATCTAAACAGTGGGAAACCCTGCACGACTGGACGAATCAAACTGACTATCCGAGAGGTTTACTTTCAACAGGCCGGTCATACGCCAGTCAAGGCCACGAAGGATCTACCATTATACATCGGAGGACCGCAAACGCGTCAATATCTTCGGCGGAGATGCGCCGCTTCTATCAACAATAAGCCGATCAGCCCTTCCGATGTCGTCACGGCATTTGGAGAGCTTCATCCCACCTACCCCGCAGCGCAATCCCATGCCCGCTGGCCGCCCGCTGAAGGAGCCCCAAGCTCCGCGGCACAGCGCCTCATTCACTGGATGGCTTAGCCGACGTGTGCTCCACACGACCAAAGACGGCGGCGGAAGTCCGCAGACGGTGGCTCACCATTTGTACATCTTTTCTGTTGGCATTTGTCAGTATCTACCAAACTCCGTAACCCGTTCTGCGTATACGAGTTTCGACCCCGAATTCGCCTATCTCTGGCTTCCGTATGGGCTCGATATTTGTTCCGTGCTTACTGGCCCTTCTTTGCTTCTTCTTGAATCTTGCTAATGATCCGATTGCTGGCTATATCAATGCATATTGTGGTTGTCCCAACGTTTTGAGTCGGAGCTATACTTGAAAAGAGTAGTTGAGTAATTATGGCAGCGACTAGCATCCCGTATGTCCATAATGCATACCGAAATATAGGATTTACTATATCGACCATCCGCTGTCTATATTTTATTAGACACAAGACGCCGCCTACTTCCAAAATGGCGCATGCCCAGATTCCGCCTCAACCCGGAGCAATAATTAGCACTAATCGTCGGACTCTTCTCAACACGTCAATAGGGAGTATATGCACTCGGATGTATGGCCTTCCTGGGAGCCCAAACATCCAAGAGATTCTTGCGGGAATCAGCGTTTCCTTGAACGAAAGCCAATTCAAAGGGGTCTGGTTACTTGCGTGTTCCAGCAGATTCGACCGGACAATGGACGAGACACCATCTAAGCGAGGGTTTTTGGGGGCCGTGTTACCGGTATTGTTCAGAAGAATGTGCATCTTATCAGTGAAATGGTGGGTCTTTTTCGTTGCTTCTCCCACAGATGAGTTATCGAGAAGGTTGATCTGAACAAAGAGAACATACTGGTATTCGATAATTGCTCTAGGTGTTATCTGCATCCGCTCCGCTACGAATACCCCTAATAGCCCAGCACCACACTTATGGCCCTCGGCATACTCTCGGATGACCGAAAATTAGGTTTCGGGTTCTGAATACGGAAGACTCGATCATGGATTATCTCTATATGCTGGCGTCATCGGCTCTCCGCCTATCCTTGCGCTCTGCCAGTGATTATCCCACGGCTTTAGCAATACTTAACTGCTTAGACAAAGCTTTGGTTCATCGTCAAAGAGCAATGCCGAAGTACGACAAAGAGCTAATTGAGCAGGCTGGGCTCTCCGTTGTCATCCTCGCAAATATGTATGCGGTCCTCTCGCAATAGACTCGGCGCGAAGAGACTTACACTCTTTCATCGCAAGCTTGCAAGATACTGTACTATATATTCACGCTAGGCCTCCGGCAGCAAAGCTGCTCATCTGGATGGGCTACGCCTGGTCGAGTCGGGAGACTGCACCACTTTAGACGAGCACAGCGCAGACGCGCAGCAACAGCTGGGTGGTGTGCAAGCCGAAAATTTCCAAGTTCATGAAGGGATTCAATGACCAGTCTCTGCCAGACACTTGCCCAAATTACTTACGCTATAGCACGAGGCTACAAGGTATTTCACTACCGAAATTTCTATGCCAAGGCTGAGGACAGATGCCTTCGCCGATTCATACGCATGATGGTATCGAGGTGCTCCCTGGCATATCGCGTAACCCACTGGAATGTCACTCTCCGCCAGCGATGGTGCTTTGTGCGCGGTGTATGGTTTTGATAAAGTCGCCGGACTATCCCTGATAGATGCATGGCAAGGGGGATTACGAGGCGCTTAGCGATGATATTCATGAGATATGTGATCAAGCCCCCCCACCACGCACACACACACTTATGGCAGTTGGATTAGCTGTGTACTATCCGGAAAGGTTGCATTACGTGGAGAAATCACTTTTCACGGCATTCTATATTGCTTATTCGTAAGTAATTCATGTCTTATTTTCATCCGAGGTTTCCTATCTGAACCCGGCGCATATATCCCTGATGCATCATCTTTCCTTCGTCCCCTCGTCTGAGTATGCCATTCACGACTGAGAACACTCCTTTGGTGTAATCAGTCTGCAGCCCCGGATTTCTGTCCATCCGTGCTAGCATCAGCAATGTCGAGCAGGCCAGAACCACGGTTCTGGAGGTCAGCCTAGAGCTCTACACCCTCCAGTGCCAGCGCCTTCTCGACAGCATCCTTGACATCCTTGGCAGTTAATGTCGGCATGTAGTTTGGCTTACTGCCCGCCTCGTAAACGCCACTCTCGACGAGAATGCTCTTCCACTCAGCACCAATGTGTGACTTGAATGCATTCGCACCGCGGATATCGCTCTCAGGGTTGTCACCGATCATGTATACCGTCTTGATCTTACGGTTGAGGCCCAGCTCCTCGCCCAGGCGTTCATTCCACAAGTGAAGAGTCTTCTCACCGTAGGCGTATGTGGCCTCGGTAGGCTTGCCGATAATCGTGTATTGAAGCTCGGCCTTCCCTCTGGTCGCGTAGGCCCAAACGCCCTTGAGGGCCTCCCGAAAAGCGCCTTGGGCGAAGCGAGGATGCTCATGCTGAGTGGCCCACTCAAAGTCAGGGTTGCAAAAGTAGAGCTTCGGCTGGCCGTCCTGGAGGTAACCATTGTTCGGGAGGTGGACTTGATCATTGCGCATCGATTTCTTGTCGAGCTTTCCACCGCTCGACAAGAGAAGGTCGGAAACAACTTGAAGGTCCAGGCACCAATCCCGCGGCGACGACCAGACCAGAATGGCAGCGATTTCTACATTCTGGGGTTGGTCGATCCGCTGGCCGTGCTCATCGTGGTGCGATTTGGTTAGCTCCGGAAAGGGGTGAATGTGCTCCCACTCGGCCAGCAGGTCCGATGAAGTGAGAACTTTCTCGAAGCCGTAAGCATGTGCGAGCTTGCGAATGTTCTGGCCATGGCCTCCCAAGGCGAGAATGGTCTTGTTCTTGTACTTCGGCACGAGATCATAGAAGGGCGTGTGCGATTGGACGAATTGCTTCTCGTCAAGTTCCAAACCGAGTCTCAGGTTGAGTTTTGCGACATGGTCCTTCTCGGTGAGACCCCCACCATTGGTTAGCAGGATGAATGGGACCTTCTTATCCTGCAGCATCTTGATCGTCTGTTGAGCGCCCGGAATGGGCTTCCTTCCTTTGAGGAGGACGCCATCAATGTCGAATGCGAATGCTATGGTGCTGTCACTCGAGGTCTGCTCACTCAAAGCCTCGAAGAAATTATCACTCTCGAAGTTGAGAGTATCGCTGGTGACGGTTCCGAACATATGAGGTCTCGAGGTGATCATGTCCACGCCAGGTGTGACATCGTGGGGAGTTCTGCGGATGGCCGGACCAAAACTCAGACTTGGCGGCACGACATTGGGAGTCCTGGGGGAAGCTGCACGAAGGTGCAAGCCGGTAGACTCCGTGCCCAGCGGAGGTCGAACAGATGGGAAGGAAAAATAGTCCATCGTGTACAAGTTGATGTCTGATAGTGAACGTGAATCTGGCAGCTGTGCTTGTCGTCAACTGGATCGGCACAAGCGTTGACTGAGGTCACAGAAGTATGGGTGATCAGGATCGTCAATCAATAAGGCAGTAGGTTGTGGGAGGACGCTCATATATGAGGCTTGAGTTCATGTTCGGAACCATGAGGCTGGTTGCCTTAGGGTGTTCGGTACAGGTGCGAATATTCACCAAAACGGTCTCAGATTGGCTTAACAATCCATTGTGCTGCCGGATCAGATTGGTAGTATAGTAACCACCGAGGTGAATCGAAAGACAATACTTCAACAAAGACCATCATACCTGTTATCAGGTTAATATTAAATACGTGAATTATACAACCCGGACTTCAGTGAATACTATTGTCCCTTGAAACAAGAAAAACACAATATTCACACAATCATTGCACACATTGTTTCAAAGACCTAAACTGACAATGAACCAATCCACCAAGTGCGGGCCATCGCAGGCCAATACTAACAATTTATTGAATAGAACTTAACAGTATATGAAATACTTCAGAGGCAAGCGATGGGGACAATGAATTATTTTGCTGCTGTGGAGGGGCAGCGCCATCTCTTATAGGCTGCATCACCCCTGCAATTGCCACCTCACGAGCACTAATCGTGAATTTTCAGCAGAAATTATAGCAAACCAACCGGTCTCAGAGGCATTTGATCAATTCCAAAAACTCCGTTAAGAAAATGCACAGAAATATACACAGAGATGTGGCGCAAAAAGACCTGTATCGATGAATAGTCGGCTACGGTAAGCGTGTGCTCCAGCGGTTGCTGCACTACTTTCCTAAAGGAGGACTTAGTATCGGGGTTTGACCAATCAAGATGTAGCACATCCTGCCTTGTGCACACCTACTGCCAATACTGAGTGAGCAGGCTGAGATCACTGTGAAACCGTCAAGCTGGATCACGCGTTCTTCTGCTGTCTAAACGATGATATCCTCATCATGACTGCCTTCCGTGCTACCGATATCCTCTGAACGTTGGAATTCAAGCCAGCGCACTCTTCCAACATGCACCTGTATGCCGGTAGCTGGACACGTGAAATGTGATTCATTACGCTGTGTGACCCGCATCTGACTGCTTTCTTGTACTACCAATATTTATGGCTGTATAGTAGTTGGTTATGGTGTGAAACTCTTTGCTGCCAAGAATTGATTGCTTTGATGCCTGAATGTTGGACCCTCACTTTTACGGCTTCTTTCTTTAAATTGACCAAAGGACCTTTATGCCCAAATCCGAAAGTTTGCTGCCCGGTGGATTGTCTGACTACCATTCTCAAGAGCAATCGGCATCGAACTCAAAGTATTTTGTGTACAGGAGTACATGGAGAGAGGTAATGTTATCACAGCAGTGATCTCCGCACCAAAAAGCTCGCTTAAACCATCTCAAAGCATCACGTTCATCGAAAGAAATCGTCTCATATATGAGGCACCAAATCAATTAGTGAGAAGTATCTATGGTCATCTAATCCCGTAGATGAAAAGAGAAAACCACGCGCAGAATGCAGTGAAACCATCCTCGTCCACGAGGGAAAACGCCGCCAGTTCCCTCCCGGAATTCATGTCCATGGCAAAAGACAAAGTGACCATTGATCCTCCAGGGACGGTCGTGGTATTCCCCTTTTTCGCTCCAACACCATGCCTGATGAATGCATAGTGTCCATGCACTCTGACCGGAACTCCGCGGGGCCAAGTCTCGACCCATGTCGTCAGTGACGCCGAAAATGCAAAGAAAATAGGAAAAAGACACGACGAAAATAAACGCTGAAGGGAGTATATCGTCCGTGTAAACCATCCGTTTGGCCTGGTGGCTGTTCCCGAACTCCCAAGAGCAGTAGACCGCTAGTTGGGAGCTCATCTCTAGAATGCGAAACGCGTGACAAGCAGTCTTTAGGGAATTTCGTGAGGATGACGACATATGAAAAAAGGGAAATACAGTAAGTCGCCGAGGACTGACGGTGGGTGGCTTGATGAGTACTTGCTTTAATTGCAATGCTCGTCCAGTGTGCTTCGAAAGCAGCCAATTAAACCCTTAGCGGCGCTCAGCGTACAACGCCTTCGCCTCATCGGTCTCCCGAATGCGTGAAGCAGACTCTGTCTCCATGCTGCGGTTAGGAGCATACGAATACTGGCGGCGATGATGAGATTGACCTTCAAACGGTCCTGTTGCATGGTGCGGGGAGGGATGCATGCCGTAATCGCCGTGGTGGATGCGCGGGATGGCCTGGGGAACGGCCGAAGTGCTCTGATGACGGACATGACGAGGCTGTGAGTATGGTGAAGGATGGGTCTCTGCCGGCGAGGACCAAACTTGCTGATGGCCATACTGACGACTGCCAGGAATGTCATCATAGTAGCCAGGCGGGCCGTTTCCGTATGCAGGATCAGGCCGAGAGTAGCTCTCGTAAGACACAGCCTCAGCCGAGTAGCCTTGGTAGGTCGCAGGGTAGTTCATTGACGACGGCGACCGAAAGGTGAAGTTCGCGTTGTGGTGAAAGCCACCCATCTCCGATTGGGATCTCTGATGAGTCGGACGTCTGGCATCGAAGTAACCCTGAGGTGGAGTGCTTGTGTCCAACTGGGGTGCCATGGGTTGACCAAGTCTCTGAGGAGTAGGGGCCGGGAGGGGTCCGCCGAAGCTGTAGTGGGAAGCTCTGACACTGCCATCATCAAAGTAAGAGTCCTCGCTTTGGTTCTCGCGGATATGGCTGAAAGCCGGACGGTGTGGCAGATGTTGAATGCGACGCATGGCTGGGACGGTCTGTTCTGGAACTTGGTGTAGGCCGACGTGCCCAGGGCGGTCAACCATGCCGTACGAAGGGAAATCCGCGATGCGTTGGCGCTTGTCGATCGGAGAAGCACCCATGGCATCATCGGGTCGCCAGCCGCCACTGAAGCCTGGTTGGCTGATGCGTCGGATCATGGGGATGGCCTCGTGACGGTGGGCGTTGGTGAAGCCGACAGACTGAGATCGCTTGTGTGCACTACCGCTGCTTGTCTTTCGCTTCAGAACGACCTTGTTCCTTCCGTCATCGGGGGAGTCTGTGCTGATGTTGGGGAGAATCTCAATATCGGGGATTTGGGTGAGCTTTCCCTGGTCCATCTCCGTCTTCAGCTGAGCAACGATCTCCTCAATCTGCGCCGTGGTGTACCCGCTGTTGCATTTGTTCAAGAGCCAGCCAGGGACCGCGGTGCCGTTCAGTACTGCTCTATCTGCGTCTTCGTCATCGGTCTCCTCGCGGTAGGGGCGCTTCTTGCTGGCCTTTGTGGAGACTCGGTCATCGAGGCGTTTCTGCTCTCGCTTTCTGACAGACAGAGACCAGTCCTGAACAACACCAGACTGACCAGCACGTTTGTTCTCGTCACTCCATGCTTGCACTCGCTGGATCTGCTTCTGAACAAGCTCGCATTGGAGCTTCGCATACTCTTGGGCGTTTCGGTAACGGCTTCGCTGGTAATGCTTGCGACAGAAGTGTACCCACACGTGCTGGGGAATCATTCGGGTGCATAGCTTGTTACGGCCGAAGATGTGGGAGATGGCTTTGCGAGGTTGGGAACCGGTATCGCAGTTGTCAACGTACATACACTTGATACCCTCCTCGACGGAAGTAAGACCAGAAGCGGTCGGGGAGGCTGAAAGAGCATCCATCGCGTAACTGGAGCGACGATCTCCTTGCTGTGAGGGTGGCGGGGTGGGCTGAAGATTCTGAGGCAGCGGCGGATACGTCTGTTCAATTCCACTGATGGCAGCAAAGTCGGGTGCTGATACAGCTCTCTTGTGTGCCTTGGCCAGGTCAGGAAGAGCCAGAAAGCCTGAGGAGGTTTTCTGCTCAGGTCTAGCAAGACAGTCAGTGATCTATCGTGAATGTACGTGATCGGAAAGAGTTGGCAGTGAATGATGCTGGTTCTGACAAACAAGCCGGCCCTAGCGCACAAAAGAAGTGACAAGTGTAGGAGCAGGAGATGGGGCGGGGTATCAGGTGTTCAGATCAAAGTTGTCAGTGGTGAATGTGGTGGCAAGTTGCTGGTGACTTGGATCCCCAGCTGGACAAACGACGAGACACCAAAGACAGCAGAGAACTCGACGAGGTAGAGAGGCAGGAACGAACGCGGGGCGCTCGGTGTTCAGATGAAATGAGCTATTGCTTGTGACAAGAAATAGCTTATAGGGGTGTGTGTTATGTTCAGCGTTCTGATCAGGATGGGCTCAACACCAAGAGTATAATGTTGCAGGAGATGCTTTACCACGGGTATGAGCTGATTCTCTGAGCACAACTCGTGACAGGAATCGATCTTGCCAGAAGTTGTAATACACTTGCGACTCGGTGATGTTGGTATACGTGAAATGTGAAAGTTCAACCCGAGGTGTGATCCGCACTGGGAGAGTGATGACTGAAAAGGTATTGTGAAAACAAAATTATCTCTAGCAAGGGTTCAAGTTGTTCCACTGAGTGAACAATCGAGTGCAGAGATTGGCTGTTGCAAGAGAAATACCATTGTCCAGATGCTCCTTTCGGATGAATCGAATTGATGCCAGAACAACAGCAGGGACACAAGATATCAAGGGGGGGGTCAAACAATGGCCTGGCAGCTCAATTCACATGGCCCCCATTGTGAAGTTAAGAATGGTCAAAGGCAGGAGCGACGATGTATTGCCCAATAGAAAGGCAACCCCATAGAGAACAAATTACTTACGTGGAGAATTCTTGTGGGCTCATCCGACCCGAGCTCTGACTGCCCCGCGATATCAACATCGCGTCAGAGGGCGACCCGGGTCTCCTGATATCCAGGAGGGTTGGCTCCTCCGCAATGGCGCTTGGAGAAACTCCCCCATCTCTTTTGGATTTTTTGCTGAAGAATTCGGAAGCCGATGAGCGGCTGATGGCCGAATCCAAGTTATCGCATGACCTCGACTCAAGGGACGGGATGTCGGTGACAAGCGGTCCAACCGCCTGAAAGCCGCCGCTGACAGTCGACATTGACGAAAATCTAGAGTGAGTGAAACTATTAATAGAGGAGCTGTACGATGACAAACTACTATAGCTGTCGGAGAACCTGTGCTTGGGTGACTTTGGGCTGGCAGAATCGACTGGCGACCCGTTGTAAACTGTTGGCTTCACAGGCGTTTGTGTTGTAGTCTTCGTGTCCAGAGTCAGAGGAAGAGAATAACCTCCGGCATCCCATGGTGTTCTTGAACGATTGGGTGTCCGAGACTCGCTCGTTCTCCTCGAGGAAGTGCTGCCAGGCGATGGAGTTTGCACTACCGAGGAACAAACAGTCGTGCCGTCAACGACTGACGGTGTTGGCGTCGGGTCAGTGGAGTCCCGAGCCTCTCTGTTCGCTGCCGCTGAGGCCGAATTCAGCATCGAAGTGACATCCATGATATTCAGCGGAGCAGGTCGTAACCACGTCGAATACCGGGACTCAGATAGCTACGGCCTGTTTCGCGACCGGTGTTCCTTCGTGTCGAGAGTGGCTTACAACGCTCCTCGCGTGCCTCTCCAAGAGCGTGGATTGTCAATTAATGATAGCGGTCGGTGTAGCTGCCATAAGATGTCCGTTGCTGTCTTGCTGTTGCCGTCAATGATCGACGTCCGAGGATCCCCAAAGCACCCAGTATGTAATCCGAACACTTTTTTGCTTGTCCTTCTCCTCTTTCAAGTCATCAGCTGGATCTGGACTCTTCCTTGATTCCGTACTCCTTCTCTTGCCAAAATGTCCAAAAGGTGCTGTCCAATGTCGGTATTATCAATCATGCGCAGCAATGCTCGTATTATACACCCTGCTCACCAGCACAGGAGTGTAGTCAAGGAGTAGCCCCAAAGTGATCTCCGAATAGAAGAGGAATAAAAAGATTGTGGGGGAAAAGGATCCAGGTACGGGTGGCTGGGTGGTGGGAGAATCCCAAGACTTTTGTTGTTCAGGCCAGACAGGACCCCATAAACGTGATTATCAGATCTATCGACGGGATCGACGTTAGAGAGTCGCACTGACAAGCATTTGGTGATTGAAACAGCCGAAACAACTACCAACCGGAAAGTAGAGATGATCCAGTCATCCGAGTACTGCAAGCAGTACCTTGTCTGTAAATGTCAAATCGGTTCACAGCTGAGCCGACGTAAAGAGAGGAATGAACAAACTCCCCTGCTGTCTGGCGGGAATTTCTTGAGACGAGGCTGGAGTAATGAAACCGTCCTGTTCTTCACGGTTGTAGAAGGTCATTAGATGAGATGTTTTGTTCGCCGTCCCAGGGTGCCCGCTAGGTCGTTGGCCCAGAGCAAGATGAAACCAAGGCTCGATGACAGGTGGGAAGATGCTACGCTGTACTAAGAGGCCGGCAGATGAGAGCAAGTGGTGATAGCGGCGAGCTAACACGCCCGTCAAAATGAAAGGGTCACACTGGCTACAGGTGAGTCGAGCGAGTTCCGGTAGACAAGTTAAGACGGTGGGTACACCCAAGTGACGGGGTGGTGGTTCCTAATACACGAAGGGAGGCTGTGCTAAGGATGCATGAAGTTCAGAGCAGCATCTGAAGACAGGAGTCGTTTGGGCCCTCGATGTAAGGTGTTGACTGGGGTGTCCGAGAGAAGGAGAAACAGAACGTACTATGGGGCTCTCAAGCTATCAGGATCTAAACAAAAAGTTTGTTGGCAGGCCGCAATCCAGAGGTTGGACCAAGGGTGACGAAGAGAGAACAGACGCTGGCTTGTGCGGACGAGGACGGCCGGCGACATGCTCACTGCGGGATCAAGAGCAAGCCATGCAAAGAGTTCCACCTGCGGCTACACGTCTATGGATACTTCGCATTGTGCATTGCGTCGAGGGTGGGCGACGATGTTTAGCCTTCCCCACAATAGGTTTGGGCGCTGGGCAGGTTCTCCCCGACTGGCTGCTCAGAGGGCAGGATCCATGCTGGGTTCAGGGATATAGCTAGCCCAGGAGCATGTACACAGTATAGCGAGCTGCTGGGGAATGGGTCCCAAGGTCCCATCAGCTCACTTTTCCCTGGCTCTGGCGGCGGTAGATGGCTCCTGGCCCGCCCTTCGCGGCCACCCTGCGCTGTCTGTGAGAGGGCCGCGGCAGATCATGGCGTCAGGTGCTCGTCTGAACCGCGATCTTCACAGGGGAGCGATCCGGGCCAGGGGTTTGCAACTCCCTCCCACAGAAGGGGGCTTGGGGGTGGACCTGGCCGCATAGTACTATGGTATGTGTGGAAAAGACCAGGTGTTCCAGAAGGACTGCCAACACCAGCACGTCGCTACGCACACTCCGCGAGATGCCACAGGCTTCAAGGGCGTGCGGACAGAGCACGAGGCGCAGCACAGAATGATCTACGAGCTGAGACCCGGCATCGGGCTTGAAACCTCTCAACGGACGACCTGTTTGATGCCAGGCGCGCTGGGACGCACTCCTGGAGCAGATCCTGAAGTTGCGCGATCTGTGACCGGATTAGCATCTGACCGGTCCTGGCGAACGGACGGCTGTAGACGAGCCAATCGACAGCGCCTCGGGATGTGCCGAGACCACCAGGCCAGCGATTTGCTTTTGCTGTCGGCGCATCGTCAGATTGCTAGGGGTCGAGTTGGGGGGCCTGGACAGTGGAAGGTCCCAAAGAGGCCTAAGGCTGGACGGAAACGTCAATGCTAGAACGGTAGCCCTCCAGCATTTCGAGCCCGTCGTCGCGGCTAACAGCCTGCCCCATTGTGCAATCTTGTCTCAATACGGTAGATGCATGTATCTGCAGCCACGCGAGCACCTCTGCGAAATTTTGACAGACGAGTAGTGAGGCGGCCAAAAGAAGACGCTGGCTGGCTGTGTGACTGGCATCATTCTCCCACGCGGTCTTCGTATTCTGTGACACCCGCGTCCGTCCGTCCACCACGCGTCGGCCACGCTCCGAACCACGCTAAGCACCGGAAAACACGGTTCTCCAGGAGGTGACTGTGCCGTGCTATACTGCAACGAGCAATCACTTGTGACAATGGACCGTGTGCTTCGCCTGCCATTGCCTGGGCGAACGAATGACTGTGGCCGGTAACAGAGGGCTGACTAGCAGTGCATACGTCGAAACATGCCCTATAGTCTACTCGTCGGTGGGGCACATGTGCGTGCGACCACGACGTCGGGCCGCCGGGAGTCGTGTGTGAAGTGCTGCTGATCCAATAGTCTTCGCGGGACAGTGCAACAATCCAATGTTGAGATAGAGCGATGGCCGTCCGTCGTCCTGGGGCATCAGGCTGTCTCTCTGATCTGATGGACATGTGAAGGGGGAGATCACTGGAGGGTTCAAAGACGATGGACGAATCTTGACTTGCGATTGGCCCGTCAAAGAATATATCAGGGGTTGGTCGACCAGGGGCCAGGTTGTAGCAGATATTCTGGTCTAGCTAGTCACTAATGAGTTCCTGGCATAGCCTCTTTGGGCACTACAATGTCCTTGGCCTTTCGAGACTGGGGTACCTCCAGTACGGTCCCTTCCACGGATGCGACGTTGAAGACTGACTGACAGCTTCCAACTGGCTTGTCACCTCTGCGCTCCCTGGTCTGAGGCGTACTCAATTGGGGAGGACGGGGGAATCGATCTCGAGTTGGGATGAGACGGCGGCGTGTCGTGTTTCAGGACGTTGGTCAGTCTATTGAAGTTTATGCGTTACGAAGCTTCGACAGCGATAAACCCGGGAAGGGTGGAGATCAGATCTCTGTGACAGAGATCACCCCTGTCCATTTTGTCTCAATTAGCACCACGCCCAGCGTACCATGCTTACATGAGGCTCGGGGCAGTCGAAGATATAGTAGAGCTTATATTGCATATGGATCCCGCTGGTTCGTCATGGCATGTGAGGCTGGTTGCAGAGACAACGCGGACTTCTGGTCTGGCCTTGCGGCGAAAACTGCAGTGCTCTCCGTAAGGGCAGTCGCCAGCAGTCTCAGTCTGCGGTTCATAATCATGATCGACAGATCTGATGGAGCGGGACGGTCACTATCAAATTATGTGAAACAGGCAGGCACATAGCGACTGCACCTCGAATTTGTTTAGTTCGTTCACGAAGTGCCACCGTTCTGCACTACATACGACGTCTATCATCGTGCGCTGCATTCTGCCCTGAATCAAACATGTATCTGGGTCGCAATTTCGGTGCCCATTGCTACAGCCCTAATACTAACCCGGGATGGGGGCCTGCTTGAACGGGCAAACCCCTCGTCGCGCCCTGGCCTCAGGGTTGCATCAATGTGCTTCTGGTGTTGCCGCACCCACATGTCATGTTGCTGGGAGCCGCAACTTTCTTTGTTATCATGCGCCTGTCGAATAAGCTCCATTTCGCATCGCACAGTCTTGGTATTAGGCGGGCGACTGCTTGTCGCTGAACCCTGCACGGCTCGTTCCCAATCGAGCTGTGCGCGCAGCCGAGAGAGCTCATTGTATTTGCAATTCCTGCAACCGCCGGAGGCCATGATCCATCCGTTCGGTAATTCGGTAGAGGCTGTCTCGGTGATCGAAGCTCTCCGACAGGCATGACACGCCTGGGGTAGGGCCTAAACGAGATCCCTGCGCAGATCTTGAGCAACCCACTGTGCACCTCACTTCATACTCAGTACTCTGACGGTTGATAGGTTTCACCTCATCATAAGGTGTGGTTCAGTTGGACGGCTACATTCTTTCTTAATCCTCATCTCACCTACAATGGCACGGTCGCGAAGGGCTAAATGCTTAACAGCACCAGCCATTAGGCCTGTGGAAACGCACGAGAGCGTTGCCAAGATGGCCCTCGGATCCGAACCCGGTTTCGAACGTCGTGGCGCACAACTTCACGAGCTTCGCTTAGCATTGCTTCACGCTCGGCATTTTAAGGTTATTTGCTGACAGATGGAAGACCAAAAGTGTCCCATCCGTTTGGATTCGGATGTGAGGCTCTTGAACCTAATTCTGCCTTTGCCTCGCAAGAGCTAGCCTTTTGCTTGTCCACTCCACTATGTCCCATGTTGTTTTAGTGGCGGGATTCATCAATGCATGGGAAGAACAAAACTGCAATCGGACTTGGATTCGAGTCAGCCGCGCTGATGCTTGAGCCAATTGATGGCATGAATTTCGAGAAGCGCATGCAGGCCCACAAAGTGGTGTCGGACGGATGACTGCGAGTATCTCATGAGCATGAGATTTGCGTTCATCACATATAGCCCAAGCCACATATGTGATATACACTCGCGGTTCACGTATGGAGTCAGAGCATGTCTTGACCCGTTGTCAATAACGTGACAACAACCAATGGTAAGTGCTGTTTTGGCTGCAGCGCAGAATCATGAGGCAAATTGTACTCGCCTTCCAGAACTGTACCGATCAAGACATAGAAAACCTTACCGTTCCTTGAATGAAGCGCACCAAGTCTCAACATCTCTCCGCGTGTGATGAAGCCCACACTGAATTTCATCGCGCCGCACCTCAGCTTATGGGAAAAGTGCTGTTACTGAAGAAGCAAAGGTATCGATTTTACCGTGCAGATACTTCGTCTGTTTTGGGCGAGACATTCTGGTCTTACATCTCATGTCTCATATGTTACCAAGAAGTAGGTGTCAAAAAAGCCACCAGGTGTGTCGCAGACCTCCTCAACGTTTTGTAGGCTTAAATCAAGTCAACCTTGGTTTGCTTCCAGTGTTGGCCAAACATTTCTCAAGTCAACTCAAGCCCTTAACGTCAAATACTTAGAGGAACTCTATTTGTGCTATCAGTGTCTGGGCGAGGCATCCGAATTATTCATTGATCTGAGTTGATGAGGTTGCCATGGCTGTGGCCGCTACATGAACCAGTGAGCAATTGGAATGACAGTTGCTAAAGTTCCATCACTGGGCCATGCTGTGTTAGTTGCCAAAATGTCACACATGGTCCGGGAACCGCACTTTCTGACGTAGTGGACTTGCTTTGACAATTTCTTAGATGAAAAGAAGCTCTTAACGGCGACGCCGCATCAAGCGAACGGAAACCTTGTAAGCTTGTGGCTTCACCTAGCCTTTATCCGATCAAAGGTAGGTTACGGTTTCTTAAGCATGTATTTGAAGTCCGTTTCTTTGCTGAAAACTCTTCGTTATCATACATGTTGCCAAAAGGAAGGTGACAGTCTCGTGGCCGGGGACCTGGCCTGTCCAGAAAGGACTGCCAATCTTCCTCGGATAGTGGACTAGAAATGGAGCTTGTCGTCGCATATCTCGCAGCGCATATCGGCGACTGCGCTTTGCGCGCGCCAAAACCGCTTCGGGGTAGTGCTGTGATAATACTCATAGGTCACAACTTCACAACTTCTCATCTGTTTTCGTAAACTACTAGATACTGCCAGGCTTTAAGCATGTGGCATCCAGCCAGTCAATGGCTAGGGCCTATATTTGCTTCTCTCAATCATCTGGGATTGCCATGTCAATAGCGTCTTCGAATAAAACGAACGGTTGGAAAATCAAGCATTTCCAACCCGCTTCCCAGCCGTTACGACCGTGATGCATTCGCAAGACAATGTGACGCTCATCGACCTTGACTGATAGCATGTATCCTTAGAAAGCATAATGTATCAAGTTACGATGAAGCTGTCTACAGCAGTCTGTAGATATGACTTCCAGCCGGCGGTTTCCTGTGAAGTCATAGCCATGGCAGATAATATGGATATTGGGTATATGCCATGAACGGTTTATCGAAAACCAGTTTTACCCTTGTTCTCTTTTCGATATATGGTAGAGAGCGACCATGCGTAAGTGTATGTAGCCCTTCCTGCGCAAAGGATATTATGCTGAGAATACTAATAGTGTCAAGTATTGAGTCTGTTGCGTAACGGTATAGGTCTATTCAAGTATTTTGCTGTAACATGTAAGTTGTTTATATGGACGGATCGCGACTTGCATAGATCGCGACAGCAGTCACCTGTCAACCAAGTCTTGTTATCCTTTACATTCACATTCCAGAAAGCGCTATGCATGTATATTTGCTATGATACAGCATGCATACTTGTACAACACCGCATCGTCCTGAGGCCAGTTACGAATGTGGAGCTGGTCAATAAGCAGTGGTCCCGTAAGACGGCATCATAACGTCAGGTCTATGATCCTTCCAGACCTCGTGTCGTGCGCACACTAGAAGACACTTCACTAGCGGAGAAAATCTCATGAAGTCCACCGCTTGACGTCCCGAGTTTGGAGCTCACGATGTTACATCCGCTGTCCGCATTGCGGCACCCACAACTTTTTCCGATGATCGCTCGTCAAAACTTGCCATGCCACGAGAGGGACACAGCATATGGGCAGCACCAAACAAGGCCGATTGCTCCTAGCCACGTCATCCGAAGTCTGTCAACCTCATGGCATAGGCCAAGAGGAAGAAGCAAGCATGTCATTGCCGGAAGATGGGACTTCATGCGATCGTGTTTGTCCGGTCTTGGCCTTTGCGGCAGACGACATCGAAAGATGTCGAATCACCCTTGCGGCTTTGCAGTGGAGATACCATAGTAGCCGGGCAACGATTTCTGCGTTAGAGCGTGCGGGTAATCAAGGGTGAGGTGACACGAGGTCCGATGTGAAGCTGCAGCAAACCTTTAGGAGATTGTGGGAAGCTCCCGCATGGCACATGCCTGCGGCTGTAATGTTCCGCTGTGCTGGGCCCATCGGAATCATTGGGTGTGAGGGTCTGTAAGGTTCCGATGATCTGTCAGTCCCAGCCTACTTGCATACGTCGGAACAGGCCTGATGATTGCCCCTCGCATCCGTTGTCCGAGCTCGATGTCCTGTTAATCGAAGCCAGTTAGAGGGAAGCAAGGACACATAAATGGGCCCTTTTTGAATACACGCAGGGAGATTGTTTGCCAATGTCCAGCTCTCAGGCGAGCACGAGTCTACACGGGAAAAGTAGTTGCCCCATGGCACGATAAGTCCTGCAAGCTTCAAGGTGAAACTGACCCGGAAACAACGTTCGCTTGAAATGCAGCTGAGTCCTGGAAGAAGTTACCAAACAATTTTGCATTCCTTAGATTGGGTTTAGGGCTGCGGCTTTGCCTGACAACCTTGATTTCAGCTAAGTTCTTCCGCCATGACCGGGGAGTCCCTGCCCTATCACACCAAGGACAGGTCTCTAATAAGCGGATGATGTGGAATCAACTTTGCAAGGATCAAGATAAAGCCAGAGATTTGGACTCAGTCCGGTGTCAGCAACTTTGCAATTGGCTTCCCCGAGGTTACAAGGCTGTGTAATCAATGCCCAGGTTTGTTCACTGACAACTACTGGACCCAAGAGTTGTTCTTGCACCGTGTCAAGTGTGGCATTGAGTCGAATGCCCCCAGGAAGGAACGATTGTCTTGAAGACAATTGATTCGCGGTCGGTGTTTTAAAATGACTATCACTCATGTGTCTTATCACTGTGTTTTGCCTCTTGAGGATGGGCATTGGGAATGGGGCCATGAAGTTCATTATCACTCAATGAGCAGAAACACAAATCAATTTACATATAGCATCACAATATCTGTAGTCTGAGAGGCGCTGATATGAGGGTTTGGAGTTTTGATGCCCCAAGAAGAGTTTTTACGGTAAAATTACTATATACAATATCCATGGACTCCACCCCCCTTGTTTTCTTATCAGGGCATCGTAGGAATACGTGGCGTTGCCAGCGATCAAGTCGCCTTAACTACCGAGACTGGATCTCAAGATAGCACTTCCACGTTCCGTTTCGCCGCCGCTGTGGTAAGTTTAAGAAGTCGCTCCGCAGCATACTCCGAAGCAGCGACGATCATGGCTGATGGGTTACCCGTGGACATGCCAGGGAAGATGGATGCATCTACAACGAAGATGTTGTCGGTTCCATATACCTTCGTATTGACATCGACGACAGCAGTACCGTTCTTGACACGGCCGTCATCCAGTCCCATTTTGGCAGTACCTGTATCACATTAGCAGAGATCTTTTAGGACTCGTAGGCTACACGTACCCATCCAGTGGTTTGACCGCCTCGCAGCTGCGCTGACTACCAAAGAGTCTACGTAATTCGCCGTGGTCTGATTGGCCAACGGAAGAGCCCAGGTCAAGTTCTTGACTGGTGTCAAAGCCGCTCGGAGGTTGTCGAGACTCTTCAAGACTGCCTCCTTATCGCCTTCGGTACGCAGGTATGGGTGTTCTGCTACAACCGTGGTGAGCTGAGGAGTGATAGCCATTCGGCCTCTCGATGTGGAACCTCTGCCAAGGTACTGGCTCATGATCATTGTCTCTGGTGCGGTATTAACACGATATTTGTATGCGTAAAATCCGGGAAATTTACTTACTGTTAGTACCGGTTTTGTCCTCGCCTTCGACACGAGAAGTATACTGTAGCTGTCGGACCTTGCCGTCTGACGTTTTGATCTCATCCCAGAACTAGTCTAATGTTAGTATTAACATAAATCTTCTGGCATGTGAGGACCACCCTACCATAGGACCAATGTTTGGCGCCGATTGAGTAAAAATACCTGTTCGGTTTTCTGGAGAAATATTAGGGCTAGTTTGACACATAAAGGCCGAGATATTGCACTTACTCATGTACTTTTCTTTGTCATTTGGGTTCGGGTCCGTCCATGCCGCGTAGAAGTCGTAGAAAACGACGTCTGGATGGGTGACGTAGACATCGGTCTATCAGGTCAGTATTGATGACACACATCAGATTCAATGGCACCTACGTTAAGATGATCGACCAAGTTTGAACCGACTGGGAGATTGATCCATTGGTCCTTCGAGACCATAGTAGGTCCATCAGAAGAGTTAGCGACAATCGCCAGTTGATCAGCAGGGCCAATGCCGCCTGTCAATGTTAATACAGTGCATTAAGAACGATCGAAATATCATACTTCTCAAAAGTAGCTTTGCGGATCCAAATGTTCCCGCAGCCAAGATAACTCGACCAGTCTTTGGGGTGAGGTTGACTTTGCCGACGTAGCCTCCGTTTCCATTACACTCCAGCTCGACGGCGCTCGCATGTGCGCCATCGCGAACGACTCTCTTGACAATTGTGTTTACGTACAAACCGAAGTTGGGTCTCTTTAATGCCGTTTGGAGGTAGGTAGCCATGGGTCCGCCTCTCTCACCGTGATCAAACATGTAGTTCGTGCGTCCGTACGTGTGGTTCTTCGCGGTCGGCTGCTGATTGGCCTTGACTTCCTTCCAACCTGCCTGTTTAAATCCGTTGCTGAGTACATCAAATCCTTCGTGTTGGTAAAGAACTCCGTCCAGCGAAGGGTTATCTGTCCCCGGAATACGCGCGAATGCCCGGCTCTCGGCAGGGGCAACATCTCTCGAGTGCCAGCCTGGTGGGAAGTTCTCGTCCCAGTCTGCCGGGTTGGGCTATTCATATTAGCAGATAACATATGGAAAGGACTCTGTGTTCTTACTCTCCACCAAAGCCCAGCATTAACAGCAGTGCCGCCGCCTAGCACGCATCCAGCCATCTGGTCTGTATCTTTGCAAGATACACCATCTGAGTCAACCCAGATTTGGTTGCAAAGGCCTGGGACGTCAAAACGTGTCAAGTTAGTTCCATCAAGCCACTGCGGCTTCATTGTGCCGTCGTATCTTCCGGAAGAGGGCGGGCCCTTCTCGATGAGCAGTACACTTTTTCCCGCATCACTCAAGCGGTCTGCAATAGGAATTCCACCTGCGCCGGCGCCAACAACAATATAGTCGTAAGTGTCCCTAGAAGGAGCCACACAAGTCACTGTTGGTCCAGGCACAGAACTCGTGGTCGACGGCCCCGTCGGCGAAGTGGTAGTAGTGGTTGTCGTTCCCCCACAAGCTCCATTGCTTGTCTTGGTAGCCAACGCTGCCCACTTGGTGTAATCTTTGTTGACTGTATTGTTGATCTCGGCGCCGTACTGACCAAAGGTGCTGTGTTGTCCGAATACGGAATCTGGACAGCTCGGGTTTGTGGGAGCAGCCTTAGCCTGTGCATATCCTAGGACGAGGAACCCTTCATTCGTAGATACTGAGCCAGTGGCGCCTTCGTGATTCCAAGAAAAGCAGTTCTCGCAACGATAAATTACCTCAAAGGTAGACCCATTGACCGATGAAGATATTTGTGTCAGTTTTGCATTCCCAGAGTAGACTTCTGGAAGGTTGTACCCTGTGGCGTATCGGAAAGACGTAACGACTTGGTCTTTGTAAGGCCACGCCACCAGTAGTAGAGCTTGGGTCATTTGACCCGACTCCCCATGGGACAAGCCACACCATCCTGCGGTGCACCTCTAATGACCGTCAGCAATCTATTATTTTCGATGTGGACGGCTGTCGTACTAGTATACCGATGTATTCTGTAGCGGACTTGGTCAAAGCATCCTCAGGAAGTGCAACACCAAAGGTGTAACCACTGCCTTGACTCCACGTTGAGAACTTGATCCCGGTCTTCGCATCGGTGTAGGGGGTCTGTGCCAGACCGGGCTGGATATCTGTTCTAGTTCAGTATTCACGTGTACTTCCCGACCTCATGCATACCTACAGGAAACAGCTGCCAGCAGAGCAGACACCAAGTGAGTGAGGCCCCTCATCTTCAAAGGACTTATTGACGAGCACTTAAGACCTGGAGAGTCGTGGGTTCGCGCCGAGGGGCGGATTGGACAGAAATATATCTGATGGCATGTCTTGCCTCACCTTCGGTTCGGCCAGAGGTCAGCCGCTCAAAGAACTCCGTAGCCGTCATGATAAATGCACGGTCAGCAGCAAGCTGTCCACTGTGATAGGACAACTGCTGCTAGGCTGCTCCAAGGGATTAACCGGAGATTTGCTTAATCACTTCCAGGGCTTCAGAAAGGGCTATTGTGTGATCTCTTCCGGATATAGGATGGTAGATTGGTAGATCTAGATTAGACGCCGTGCGGAGCGGCGGTCCAGAAAGTCCTTCTCAGAACCAATATGGCACGGAAGAGCCAGCATCTAGGCGAGCCGTAACCGAGATGATATAGGCCTGTCGCCAACCGCTATGGACCACCCGCGAGAACTTGGGACCCTTACATAGGCCACCTTGCATTCTCTTGAGAGGATAACAGGAACCATTACTGTAGAGAACTGAACGTTATAGGCTATTCGATGCAGAAACGTGTGCGTGCTGGGCAGTCATATCCGCGTTCATGGCTGTAGGATCTTCGCAACGCTGGTGTCACAACCATTTTGATCAAAGTGGGTGCGTTGTGGTTGCGGACCACGCGAAATAGACCTTTCCATGCATACCGCCTTCTGGTATCCATAGAGCCCGCAATAATCTGCGCAAGGTGGGTGTGCATAATGAACTGTGAATCGACCCGTGGACATCTATGGCCCATCATCAAGGTATGACCCCACGTTTCTCCAACCCCTGGTAGTGGAAGGATACCCCCGCAGAGTGTTCCATTTGGCAGGGACTAAGGGACCCCAAGGACCTCCAGGACCCCGCGGGTTTGGAGATGGCAAGAATTCGTTACCAGACCATTTCCGCAGGGTTGGGGTCTCCTTGCGCTGCCTCTTGAAGAGCCCCTGTCGCGTGATGCTGATCGGTTCATGCCGGCCTCGATATCTGAGCTGTTGTGCCACCGGAAATTTTCAGGGGCATTCCAGAGCCAAGCCAAGTTTATATTGACTTGATCTGGATAAACGCACATCGCCTCTTAAAAGCCACAAGATTTCCAGCTGACAACCCGCAGAAACCCCGCCAATAACGCAATTACCGGCTATATCAGACTTCGCGGCGCTCTACGACGTTGCCGCGCTCTAGTGATCGGGACCAATACTCACCTATCTTTTTCAGCTGCGCCTCATCCCATGAGCTGCCGGGAGAGTAACACACGCTGGCTTGAAACCATCGTTGGCCTTGGACCGGGCATACATATACTTGCGACACAGGGAGAGCCTGTTTTTCTCGAGCCAGATGTTGCCAGGTGTCTCGCTGCTGTTGGCCCGCCACTTCAATAAGTTCTTCACTTAATTTGCAACCAAGAGGCGAACTTGATACTGTCCACCAGTGTCAGGTCAATCCGGATATGAGGCCGATACACCGGGCCTGTCCAACTCTTTGTCGGATGGTCCATACCCATACCCATGCATGGACTCGGAGACCTTCCTACCGCTACAGCTGCCGCTTCTTTGGTTTTGAATACCGCAAGACCCACTTAGTTGTCAGTGTTCACCATCACCCACACAAGAAACAGGAAGTGGCCAGCAGTGAAGATAATTGGAAGCGTAGCTGGCCTACATCGATGTCTCTCCTCCTGAGTATATCATCCCTCCTCTACCTAAATATGAGGACAGTGCTCACAAGTCGATTTACTATATAAAGCCACTTGTACAGAGTTCTCCAAACACTAATCTGTGATGTCGGTATTCATCCGCTGTCTTTGAAATTTCTCAGGTGGTAGTGATTCAAGCGACAGGTTTTTCATCAAAAACTCATAAGCCATTGACAGCCAAATCTCTGGACGAAGGTATTTTCCACTAACGATGAAGATCTGAGTGCTGCACTCGGTCATTCACTCTGAAGAGAAAATAACCCTGAAAGCGGTGCAACGGATATTTAGTTGAAGTGGCACATCTCCTATAATGCTACGAGTGAGGCTCACTTATTTCTTTAAGTTCCTGGTTTCCTGGGAAGCTTGATGGTTCCAAAACCCGATCTCCGACTGATAGTATCTCCTTCAAGCCATAAACATCAACAAATAGACCTTGCCAGACGAAATAGACTGGGAATTCTGGACTCGTTCGGAAACTGGGTGGTACCGGATTCCGCAGACGTGAGTATGGTATAGAGAACGGCATGCTCCTTTGATCATTGAGAGTTTCGTGCAAATGATATTGCTCTCATGAGCTATTCACATACAACATCCCTATGCCTTCGATATGCAGCACTTTCTCAGAGACATGTCTATTAAGGCCTGTGGCAATAGACACGGCAACAAGGAAATTTCCCTGCCAGGAGGTATTCACCGTAAGTAACTCTGTAAGCGCCGCTCCACCCATGAACTACTGCCGGAGCCCTTCATACCGAACGTGACCCCCAAGCTTGCCAACCATATGTCCAGGCGATTTGGTAAATACATTGCTTGGCACGGCATGACCAATACTGAAAGACGGGGGCCACGTGCAGCGCAATTAGGAGGTGGCTTAATACCTATTATATGGAGGCGTCCCCACAACAATATCCTTACCACTCCATAAGACCGCACTCGCTACCCAGTGTTAAATTGATTGCGCAGGCCGCAAGGTGAGATTAGGACGGGCCTTGGTTGTCGAAGTCAGACTAACGGCCCGTTTCATATACAGAAAGCCGGACGGCAATCGACGTCACTGATGGAGGACCAAATGCCGAATATGCCCGGATGGTTGGATTCTTAAAGTGAAGGTAAACTCGAGATATCGACGAGGAATTTGTGTAGAACTCGTCATCATCTCCATACTTCGTTTTATCCATCCTTCGAAGCCCAAGACTGTACCCGACCGACGTCCCGACAAGATGAAGAACCTAGCTGCACTCATTACCGGCACCGCTCTGTTGCTGGAGAGCGTGTCTGGTCACTATATTTTCCAAGCCTTCGCCCCCGGTTCGGCAAAGGGCGTTGCCTATGAGCACGTCCGCCGCAACACTAATTACAATTCGCCGGTTACTGGTTGGTGCTTCCGCATGCTCTGAAGACCGCGGAATTTCTCACGCACAATTAGACCTGTCCTCAAACGACCTTCGCTGCAATGTCGGCGGAGCCACCGGCGGCAACACTTCGACCATTGAAATCGCTGCCGGGTCGCCGTTCACGTTTTCTCTTGACACAGTATGCGAAATTCATCACTGTTCAAAGTCATTAACACTGACTGGAATTCCAGGCGGTTTATCACCAGGGTCCCATCTCGGTGTATATGTCCAAGGCTCCCAGCACTGCTGCTGAATACGATGGAAGCGGCGCCTGGTTCAAGACTTTCGACTGGGGTAAGCATATTCTCAAACCGCAGTCTTAAAACCTCAACCATGTTAACTCTTCGAAAGGTCCAAGCTTCTCTGGCGGCCAGGCCTCATGGACCATGAAAGGTAAATGGGATCCATCCACAGTTCATGCAGACCACAATGATAACATGAGCGAAAGATACCTACACCAGCACCGTTCCGAAGTGTATCCCGGCGGGCGAATACCTCCTCCGGATCCAGTCGCTGGCTATTCACAACCCTGGTGGCACGCCTCAGTTCTACGTTTCTTGTGCCCAAGTAAAGGTTACTGGAGGAGGCTCGACCACACCTTCAACCACCACCAAGATCCCAGGATTCATCAAAGCTACTGACCCAGGCTATACTGCCAATGTTTGTCGTCCTAAATGGATACCCAATAGCACCCTTGCTTACTACTAGGCAGATCTATAACAACTTCAAGTCGTACACAGTCCCTGGGCCAGCTGTGGTAAGTACCTTAACATTCAAATTCCTTCGCCAATCACTAATAGCGTCACAGTTCTCTTGCTGAAACATAGCTCAAGAATTCTGAGATGCAGTGGGTAATGATGATAGCTTGGAAGCTTCGAGACTGGAAGAGGTTGATCTATCTGTATTTAGCGTGGGTAGGAATTGAGTCTATATGTTCACCATAAACAAGGACGACCCGACCCCTGTTGCCTGTTCCGATGAAGCAGGACTATTTCCATAGCACGGCAAGACATTCAGTTGCACAGCGAATGCCATGAAAACATGCTTTCTGGTGAAATGAGGTCATGAGGTTTATGCGACCTCAAGTATGGATGGCACACAAAATACCACATGCAAGGTGATCCAGTCTTCTTGGTCATCGAAGAAAGACAAAACCTGACGTTTCAATTATGCTAGTAACAAAAGAATAACATCCCCCTTGTTGTCACTTCCAAGTCCAGGGCGCGAATCTGTGTATTTGAATGACCACTCTCAAAGATCCCTTTAATATCCTTCCACAACCACAGAACGGTCTCCGTTTGGTTTGGCAAACTATTGACACTTTCTCATGCTGTACTTAATGCGACTCTGTCCCATAGACAGCATGAAGTACAGAGCCGCTCCATGCAGACAACATCAGCACCAGGTAAAGCAAGAGAGCCACTATCGACGCTTTACTGAAAACAATGGATCTCACGGGACGGAGTGTGTATGCCGAAAGCTTGGTCAAGATCGGCTATTAGCCGCTGCGCATCCCGCTTTGTGCCATCCAATCATGGGGTGCGACGAACCGCAATATGCACCCCGGGTCTATAGCGGGCGATGAATCTGAGGCACACCCTTGCCAGCGGAAAGGCGGTCGGGCACGTCATGACCATGCTGCGTTGGGAAGTGCACTTGGGCAGCACCGGTTACTGGTCTCCCCATATTACCACGTTCATTCGTGGGATCGGCCCATTCCCCGTAGTGTCGGAACCATTTGGTCGAATTCATCTAAACTGTTATGGATTGGCTGTAGCCCTCTCTCACCTTGAGGTCAAAGCCACTTCGCACATCTTCATGCGAACGGCTGCCGACAGAGTTACTCCTAACGGCAGGCGCCAAACTAAGTAGCTATATTGCCCCTTTTGACCAAGATGGCTGCCGGAGCCCCAAAGCTTGACTTGACGTCAGGAAAACTCTGGCTGCCTCCCCGTTGTTGAGCTTCCGGTGCGGTGTATTTAGTCCAGACGATTTCGTACAGAATACCGGCGGTGCTTGGTCGTCGCGTTCTTCTTTGATCACATCAAGATCACTTGGTAATTACTTCCAAAATGCGTGTAACTCTTGGAGGTTTTCTTGCCCTAGCTGCAGTTGCAGCGGCTGCACCCCACGACTTGTCGGCTTCAACGGATGACAATCGACTTGTAAAACGGGCAGGCGTACAATATTGTAAGTTGAACGCATGTCCTGCTCAGCAATATCCGCTTATACGTTTGTAGTCGGTGTCAACATTGCCGGATTTGACTTTGGATGTGCCACATCCGTAAGTATAACGACTTGCAGGGTGTTCGAGCCATGAACAGCCACTTACGCCTCTTGATACACAGGGAACGTGTGACACAACCAAGGCTACACCACCGTTATCTCAATACGGAGGTCCTGACGGGTATGAAGCTACTCAGTACATCGGTAACATGATGCTGATTCCTTCTAAACAGTGTTGGTCAGATGAAGCATTTTGTCACAGACGACAAGATGAACATTTTCCGTCTTCCAGTCGGCTGGCAATGGCTCGTTAACAACAAACTTGGCGGGACGCTCGACCAGGCCAACACGGCCAAGTACGATTCGCTGGTGCAAGCCTGCCTAGCCACAGGAGCTACGTGCATAATCGATGTAAGTTAACTCAGCGCAACTATTGGGTGAAACTGACATGCTGCAAACAGATTCACAACTGTAAGCCGAGCCTCTGGCTAAAACCAGACTGGATTTTTATACTTGGACTCGTACTAATGCGTGACATTCTAACCTAGACGCCCGGTGGAACGGCCAGATCATCGGCCAGGGCGGGCCGACGGACGACCAGTTCGCCAACCTCTGGTCGCAGCTTGCCAAGAAGTACGCCACGCAGACGAAGCTGATGTTTGGGCTGATGAACGAGCCGCACGACATGCCGGACATCGACAAGTGGGCGTCCAGCGTGCAGGCGGCGGTGACGGCGATCCGCAACGTGGGGGCGACGTCGCAGGCGATCCTGCTGCCGGGGACGGACTACACGTCGGCGGGGACGTTCGCGACCAAGTCCGGGCCGGCGCTGCTCAAGGTCAAGAACCCGGACGGCAGCACGACGGGGCTGATCTTCGACGTGCACAAGTACCTGGACAGCGACAACAGCGGGACGCACACCGAGTGCGTGACGGACAACGTGTCCGGGGCCTTCAGCCCGCTGGCCGACTGGCTGCGCCAGAACAAGCGCCAGGCCATCAACACCGAGTCCGGCGGCGGCAACACGGCCAGCTGCGAGAAGTACTTCTGCCAGCAGATCGACTTCCTCAACAAGAACTCGGACGTCTACATCGGCTACGTCGGCTGGAGCGCCGGCGCCTTCAACCCACAGACGTACGAGCTGAGCGAGGTCCCGACCAAGAACGGGAACACCTGGACAGACAGCGCTTTGGTCAAGGCGTGCATCAAGGCGCCTGCTTAGAGTGACAGCGAACGGTTCTCCAGATGTTGCCATGAGATAGGGCGGCGATATCGCCTGCTGACTGAACATAACATTAATACATAGCAATCCTTACAATCCATAGATTCGGCTTGATGAGCGAAATGCGACGTGGAGTGTGTATTTGCAAGTCGTATCTCGTGGTTCATAACAGAAAATAGCCCGGTATCTCTCGGTAAATATGTTACACTTTCCTCACAAGGAAGCCCTTCATCCGTAGCAAAGAGAAGTCAACTGCAACCGAGAACGCCTGTACGCCAATCCCGCCTGCGGAATTCAAGGTCTGGAGTAGCTAAGCACTGTTACCGAAGAACTTGGTGATCTTCTGCGCCCCAGCCTGCTTCGATTTCTGGGGGCTCTTCGTGCCATTACTCGTTGAGCTGATCTTAGGCCTCCCTCCTTTCTGCGGCGAAGGCGATTTGACAGGACCTGAGGATCTTGTGACCTTTTTGGGAGGTTCGTCCTCTTCCTTTATGTCCTCAGCCTCTCTCTTGACTCCGCCGATCTTTGAAAGGCTCTTGTCGATACCCTCAGCGATTCCTTCCTTGGACTCAATGGGATCCTCTTCAACAAACCCGTCCTCTTTCTTGACTTTGACTACGGGTTGCGGCTCGGGGACCTCCTTCTTCACTCCTGGTTTGGACGCTCCTTTGGCAAAGAAATTGGCGATATTGGACTTGTTCTCCTTGCTGTTGATGGGCACGATGAAAGTCGGGGAATTGTTTCCGACCTTTCCAACATCCTTACTGACGGGGTATACCTCCAGTTCGCCATCGAAGGGTTTGAGCAACGACTGGAGCTCTTTCGTCCACTCGTAGCGCTTTGGATCAAGCCAGGTTCGAAGCTGTTCGGAACCATTGTTAAGAATAACCGGCATCCGGTCATGCAGGAAGCGGAGCTGCTTGTTCGAGTCCGTCGTGATGATGGTATATGTGAAATGTTTTGTCTCCTCATCTAGGCGCCGTCAGCACGTCTCCTAGGCGGATTTATCTTCTCAGAGCAGGCCAAGACTCACTTTCATACGCCACGCAGTCCCACAGGCCGGCGAAGCACATGAGATGGCCATCCTTTCTCTTGACAAAGTGAGGAATCTTCTCTTTTGAGCCGTCCTTCTTCAGCCATTCATAGAAACCCTGAGCCACGACGATGCATCTCTTCCGGGCCTTCATCGTGTTCCACATGCCGCCGCTCTGTGCTAGCGAGTCATCGCGGCAGTTGATGGTCTTCATCATGCTGCCGTAGTCCGGGTTGCGCTTGGTCCAGAAGGGGATGAGGCCCCACTTCATCGACTGGAGCTTGTAGTGCACCTCCTTTGAACCGGCCTCGTCATCACCTTGAGAAGCTGGAGGTGCTGCGGTCTCGTGGTCTTCCACTACGCTGCTGTCCCCGCCGCTGGTTGAAGTTCCCTTGGCTTGACGTCGTGGTCCGGCACCCCAGTCCGGCACGTCGGCGCGATAGACAATACCATGATACCCAGGCGCAAAGTTGTAGGATTGGCGGGGGGCTCCGTCATCTTCATCGCCCGGGGCTTCGTCAACTGGCATATCGTCATCCTGTAACATCTGCCGAATCTGCGCTGGGCGCTATGAAAGCGGAGTTAGGTGGTTGCACATTGTGCTTGGTGGTTGTTGGAGTGAGCATGCGTACCAAAGCCAAAGAGTATCGGCCGCACATACTGTTGGCGATAGCGTCCAACACGGGTATCGTCGATGAAACTATTCAATTGAATGATGAAATATCACTTTGATTCATTATGCGCACGCTCGAAAAGATATTGAAGTAGTTGCCCAGGTCTAGCGACTATGACGAAATGCCAAACGCGAGCCAACGCCAAAGCACGTGACATTAATTGGAAAGCACACCTAATACTCCCTCTCCCAGTTGAGAGTACGCGCGATCAAGATGAACAACAGCTCCCGACCTCCTGCAGACCCGTTTTATCTGCTTGAAGACGAAGATGTTGGGTGACTGACAGTGGCTGAGCTAGTTTAAATTTCTGGAAATCACGCTCAAGCTTGGCCTTGTACTCTTTGGTAGGATCACACAAGTTCATATGAATATCAGAGGGTTTGACAGTGAGGTTCATCAGGATTGAGCGAAGCTCTATCACGCTGTTCTCGTTGAATAGAGGCAGCGGCCATAATCCATGTGTGCCTAATGCCCGTACCAGCGAGCCCACGATGCGGTCCTCACACTCCGGGCGGCGACTTGTGCATGGGAATTCTCTATGCGCATCTGAAACTCTGCCAATTCTGTGCAATGGTGCGAGCATGAGCCATAGGAGATCTGGCCTTGCCTTTGTTATGGATCCTACCCCGTGTCAGTCTTAATTTTTTAAATCTTTGACGCCGGATCATACTGTAAGCTTCGGGAGGGCGCAACATCAACTTCCTTGCCTCAATCGCCTCAGCTTGGGTGTATTGCAATGCCAGCTGTTTGGTAACGGCGCTGTAGAGCACGGCGTGCCCCAACTCCCATGATATCCAGAGCACCTTCTCTAGTGCTTTCGTGCTAACAGCCTTGGTGGGAATACCGTCCTTGAGGTTCAGAAATGTGACCCAGTGGGTCATCCAGCCAGCGGCCCAGGGTTGAAGAAGATGAGTCAGATCGTACTTATCTGTGACGACGGTGAGGTTGTGTAAATCGTCAAGAGGCATGCCCCCCCTCTGGGGAATGTGCTTGAATTGACCGTAGACGATGTTAAAGATAGTCCTCAGTGCGTGAGGGTTGTCTTCGGGCAGGCGGACTCTCCACTGGCTGCCGTCCGTTGGCCTCGCCTCGGCAAAGTCGTCCGAAAGCATCCTTTTCCAGACAGGAGTGACTCGCTTGATGGTCTGAGATGAGACACGGAAAGTGATGGAGTGTGTGTGGTTATGATCATCGTCACCTTTTGGCGCCTGTCCTGGATGCTGTCGCGAGCCCAGGCATCGGTTTTCTCCAACTTGAAGGAACAGGTCGCCTTCCGAGTCGAGCTGCTCTTCATCTGAAGCCCGAATATCATGCAGGCAGAAGCAATCCATTGTCGACCAAGGCGGACCCAGCCGGGGGCAGCTGTCGATCGACGAATTGAAGAAGGAAAACAACCGATGCGCTGCTATGATATTGCAGGCTAAGAATGACCGAATCGCAGTATTGGGTTCTCAGGCCAAAAAAAGGCAACCGAGGGCAGACTGAAGTTGCTGGGTTGACAAAATGAAATCAATGAGATTGTCTTGTGGCGTAATGAGAGAAAGACACCGCACCCGTGATGGTGAGTTGGTCAGGAATATGATATTTGATATGGCTGAAAAGCACCAATGCTGGCGGACAACAAGATAAAGTCTTCGTGAAAAGATGTTCACCGCTTGGGACACCGAGGGGAAGGCGCTATCAGCGTTTGGTTGTCAAATATCAAGCGATGTTGATATCAGGCTCCCAGCAGTGTTGACCGGCAAAAGACTACTGCAAGAACAGACTGGAAAGACAGGAGCTAAAAATTCATGTCAATATGGCGTGGGACCAGTGACTTGGGACGCCGAGGGAACGCTGTCAATCCTGTATAATACAACAGGTTCACCAGTAGCTCCTATGTTTCCCGTCACAGGGCGATACGGCTTGGGTCTACTCGATTTCGATCTGTTACATCGCCAGCATAGGCTAGACAGGTGTTTAGCAAAGGGGACAATCTTGAGCTCATCTAGGTCATCACATAGGGCATCATCAGGAACACACAGGTAACAAATGCTCGGAACGGTGGTCGATTGTTGTTTGCCAATGCTTTCATCATTCCCTAATGACTGATTTTGAGACCGATCCACGCCAAACCATGCACAAATGACGCCTGAGAAACCCCTTCCAGCTGCAAATTGCTCGCGTGGTATATCGGAAGAGACGTAGCACATGACCGTTCCTAACCCATCCTGCCAAGGTTTCTTTAAACCTTGAAACCACGGGACCTTCTGCGACCACGGGCACGCTCGAACTTGCGGCCCTTGGACTGGACGTAGGGCTTCTTGTTCTTGTGGGGACCCATGCCGAAGTGCTTGACGGCCTCACGGGCGTTCTTGGGGCCACGGAGCAGCAGGGTGTTGCTGCCGGTGGGGGCACGCAGAGCGAGCTGGTCGAGGGTCAGAGCCTCACCGCCGGCAGCGAGAATGCGGGCACGGGCGGTGGCGGTGTATCGCAGGGCGGCGATGGTCAGCTTGGGGACCTCGAGGAGACGGTTGTCGTCGGTGATGGTGCCGACAACGACAACGGTCTTGCCCTCCTGGCCGCGCTTGGTCTGGCCGACAATGCGGGACAGAGAGACGGGAGGACGGTTGATGCGGGACATAAAAAGGCGTCTGAGGACGACCTTGTTGAAGTTGGCATCGGTACGGCCTGTAGCGGGAGAAAACAGAATAAGTTAGCATCCGACTCGGCCGAGAAGTTTTCTCATCTTGGCAGACAATAGTCTGAACGCTGTGTTCCTTCCGGGTATGGAGGTGAGCGGTGTGTGTAGGGGTGACTTACGGGCCAGGAAGCGGTACAGCTTCACCAGGAGCTTGAGGTAGACATTGTCGCTCTTGGGTGCCTTGCGGTGAGTGCTGCGCACGTGGTGACGGTCCAAATCGATACCTGTCAGGCCATGGTTAGCCCCATGGTTCTAGTATGCTCATGATCGGGACATCGTCATCCAGCGAAGGAGAGATTTGCCCATTGGGTCGCAGGCTGCGAGAGGACGAGAATCGAGTGAGGTGATGGCCGAGGCGGGAAGGATGGGCGAGAACGAATTCTCTTTCCCAATCCGCTCCCGCCCATGCGGCATCGCACTCGACTCGAGACCGCTCAAGCAAGCCCACTTGCACACATAAATTCCAAGTAAATCACGTACCCATCTTGACGAAGACTCTGTCGCGATTGTCGTTGAATCGGAGAGTCGATGGGCTGAGGTTGTCGCTGGTCGGGTTAGTGGTCGAGAAAAGTTTCGTGAGAGGGCCCGCTGAAAGGTGGGAAAGTGCGATTCGCACCGACCGTGGGTTCTGTGGGTGGGCGGTGAGGGGCGGCAGTTAGGGTAAAAGTTCAAAATTCGAAGCCGGGCCAACTTGGCCAGCCCGCCCAGCCTCTACCCATAGTAGGCTTCTTAGTGGCCTGAAATTGCAGGCGACAATCACCCGTCAGCCGCTGCGACGCGCCAGCTGACGAGTGTCGTCCACAGCTGCCACGTCTTTAGCTCTCGCAGATCTCATCTCAGAGAGCCAGTCACTGTACATATCAAGCCAGCATTGCTCGCAGATCGCTATGCCCCAGGAGCAATGCTGGTTTGGTCTGTACTCTCCACCTCTGAACTCCGTTGTACGCTGGTATGCGGTCCTGGCTGACATTCTGGTAGCCGCCTCGCTTGCAATAGATATCCAGTCATCCCAAAATCTCAAGTTTCATTAATTCAATGATATGGAGTTCTTGGGCAGCGAGTGGAACATCTTGTCAGACAAGCCATGCTCTACTGCAGCTTTGCCGCCACGAAACAAACCAAAAAAAGAGCCCTCTTGCGATGCATGTATGCCAAGCAGATATATTCCATGAGCGTCACGGGTAGTTCCATGTTCCGTCTTCATATCTCTATGAACCCCCCCATCCAGGCCCACCGGGGAAAGGCCGATCCGACTTCTGTGTAGACCCTACTCCTCTAGTATACCTCTTTGTCTAACCTTCCTCAGGTGATGCTCACTAGTCCCCTCCCACACCAAAATATGTAACCTGCCCCGAGGGACTGAGCCCGTCGGTCTTCCGCCCGGGGTCTGGGCTTGCTCATGAGTGAGCTTGACTGAGCAAGAATAGCTGCCCGTCCTCGGTTATGCAATCAGTATGCTGCTCTATTATACTCGATACAGTTCGACCCCACTCCGCCTTGGGTATCCAATGGGCTGCCGAACACATGCGGGTCTCTTATAATACGAGAGGCTCCGCTCTCAGTCCAACCAGGAAGTCCCTGGTCATCTCAAAGCTCAGCCAGTTGGCAGCCATCGAGGGGGCTACCTTGAGTAGATTCGGTACGAGGCCTTTGTACAGGCCTCGGATGCCCTCCTGGGTGACGATGACCCGGACAGCGTCGAATATTCCCTTGTACTGGTACCCCATGCCGGACATGGTGTTGATCTGGAATCTTCGCCGTAGTACATCACTGGGGAAACTGTTAGCTCATCACCTGCCCTCTGTTCCCCTTTCATCTGTTCGCTCGGACTTACAAGGGATAGGTGCATGTTTGCGCAACTGCACCGGAGATGCCGCCAGCTAGTAGCTTTCGAACCGCGCTGGGGTTCTGGTCGCCTTCAGGAGTCAATATTTTCCGTACATATTCGTACGTCATGAAGTTGAGCCCGACCTGAAGCGTCGTTAGCACAATTGAACAAGGAGAGGGCGATTGGAATCGTACATAGGGAGCTACACCGGCGACGGTGGGGACGATGCCCCGGTAGAGGGCCCGGATGCCTCCCTCCTCTTTGTACATGGCCACCATAGTAGGCCACATTCCGGGTAGCGTTTTCGGCCTGTCGCCCAGAGCAGCGAAAGACGCTGTCTGAATTGACAGTCGCGTACGGACGATGTCCAGGGGGTATGTGAAAAAGACGGATGTAATGCCTGCTATACCACCACACACAAGTCTTTCTAAGGGGCTAAGCCCGGCGCCAGGAGTCTGCTCGAAGAAGTGCTGTAGGCGAGAGGTCGTTAGTATCTGCGGATGACGGCGCGGTGAGGCGCATCTCCGAGCTCAGACTCACCCGCTTGTAGAGGTTGTAGCTGCCGAACTGCACGGCGGAGTAGGGAACGATTCGGATGCAGTTTGTCCCGTTTCCGGCCATGAAACCTCTCCAACCTTCTTCCTTCCACATCTTCGCCAGCGCCTTGCCCACGGATAGCTTATATTCGTTGCGGCCGGCGCTCTGGACCTGGTACAGGATCTTCAGCCGTTCGAGGGGCGAAACGACGGTTCGCGACACAGCACCGGCAACGCCGCCGCCGCAGAACGCAGCGGTGACTGGTTGGGAGATGAACTCGGTGAAGCCGGTCATCTTGCTGGCCACCGGCGCGGGTGTCGGTGCGGCCTTGATGGCATTCTCGGGAGTCTAAGTGGTCTACAAGTCAGCACCGTTTCCCCAAACTTCACCTCCACGTAGACGCCGGGGCTGTGGCCGCCTCGTGGAAGATAATTGCGCACCGTTGCCATCTTGACTAGTCAGATGGGGTGAGAGCTGCAGACGGTAGTTGCGACGCATGGGCGGGTGAGGACCGAAGGATCTGCGTCGCACGAATGCTGAGGTGTCGGGAGGGAGCTGCTGGGCTACGAGGACCAGAGCATCTAGCTGACGAGATAGGGATGCTGTACTGGAATATAGATAATGTTCGAGAAATCACTGGGGTTTGTAGGCGTTCATTGGGCAATCTCTGGCGGTTCGAACGACATAGCTAAGCTCGTGGCATGTGAGGTATTCCCAGGCGGCGATGACGCGGGTTGTGGGTGGATCGTCTCCAGAAGTTGGCTGGTCCGATGATGTCGGGAAGTGGTCGCCAGGTGGAAGACTGCGCTGGGAGCGTCCGGTCAGGGGAGCAGCAAACGAGCGTGGTCGCCAAAGTTGTCACAGGACATGGAAGTACGCAGGTAGATGAGAAGGTTCACAACAGAGGCACGCGAGGACACAGGTGCTAGGTCGGCGGGCCCTTGACGTTAGATTCGCAGGTTGGTGTCGGCTGTGGTCAGACTCTTCTAAGAAAAGCTCCTACCAGCCGGGAGGGATTGATGGGCGCGGTGTGGCTCAGTAACTACAAGGCACAAGGCACCTGGAACCTCCAGTCAGCTAAAAAGTTAGCTCCCCCCAGGCCTGGGCGCAGTGGGCGGGCAGGGGAGGGGCCAGGCTGGCTGGGCAAGCTGGGGCCAATGTTCCCGGCTTCGATGTTCCTACGGACAGGTCCCCAGGTTCTAGGTTGTCAAGCGACCCTATCAACCCGCTGCCTGGGGTCGTCTGAGTCCTCCGCAGAAACGTCACCGGCTGATGAGCCGCCCCCCGTCAGGTACTGAAACTCTGCGTTTCGTGTCCAATTGACCGATCATTCCAGCATCCTTCGGACGCTGGGTGGAAGGATCCTGAGTTGAGATGAGATGACCTGCAGACCATTGAGAGCCGCCCGCCGGGACGAGCCTGGGGATCCCGGGCAAACGTGCCTAACTAGGTACTTCTGCTTTCGTTGTTGCAGCACGCCACCGACTGGCCAGCGAACTTAGCCTCCTGCACTCGGGACTGGTGTTCCAGAAGTGCTCAAGTGACGAAGGATGGGACGGCTGAAGCTAGGTACTGGTCTGACTGTTCACCGTGTGTTGCACCTGAGATCAAGTCATAGACCCCACGACGTGACTGGCTACACAAGATACAGTACCTTACAGATCCTTTTCCTTTTCCTGGGCGCTGAAACCACGGTACCATGGATTCGGGCAGCAGCCAAACCCAGACATCATCAGATTGCGCAAGTGCGGTAACTCGTGTGAGCCGGACATTCGGGAATCTTGATTGGGTCAGCGACAAGCCCGGTGGGTTGCCTGCCCCAGGTTTGGTCTGGAACTACTGTGGTGTGAGATCTGCAGCCGAAGAATGCCGTTCTCGTTCGGCATAGCAGCTGCACCACCGGGTTGGATCGGAATGCCGTACCCACACGGCCTGGTCGCCGAGCGCTACTCCAACATCAGGGTCGCGTGTCGCGGCCTTGCCTTCCAATCCCGAACCTCTGCTGACGAGGTGCAGCTCTGTTTATGGGCAATGCCCTATCGCTCGAGATAACCAGGGGTATCAATGCGCGGGCTCTGCCAACTAGATGTCGTCGTCAGTCGGGTTTGGCGATTGCTGGCCACTTTCTTCAACCAGACCGGGGGCACGTGTACAGCTCCAGATCCTGCTAGCGCCTTATATTGTAGAATCCGGGGTAAGTGGTCTAAATGAGGTCACCAGGTACCCCGTCGAGTGTTAGTGGACCTCATGGCGGTGAAGTCGTAGACAAGTGGATGGCGGGAGTTTGTCGTTGCACTGTTCGTTACTCTCTCGCTTACTCCAGGTCCGATGCGCCAAAGTTCTACCTGAGCTCCCTTCGTTCATATATTCCCAGTGACCGCGATGTAGAGAAATCGGGCGCTCTTCTCCGCTTATTACAACAAAAGACTATCTCATTCACACAGTGCAATGCGTCATACTGAAGTAAACACTGAATGAAGTAGCATCAAGCCAGTTTTAACTACCTATAAAATGGGTGAGCGCGGAGCTCCAATGGTATTTGCCTCTGAGCATGTCTAAGGTGGCAGCAATCCCGCCAGAACAATGCTCCAAGGCACCTGCTGTCTATCGTAGGAGGGTTCGCGGAAATTCGAGGGAGCCGGCCGGAACTAGAAGATGAGTGACATCCCAGAATAACAATGCGAATCAAGTGCCAACCGTGAAACGAAAGATTACAGACTTTTGACTTCCCCGGGTACGTTCACGAGCACCAGTTTTCTTTTTCTCTCTTACTGTCGCGCTAGTTATCTACTCAGCGACATCCAGGTCGTCGTGCTCGCGTTCGCGGGGAGGGGGGGAGTCGGCAGCTATCGCGCACTCGTGTCAGCAAAGCTACTACTCGGCCTGGATCGTATACAACGGGGGGCTTACGCTTTCTGTCATCGCCGTTTGTTCCATTCTCGCCGCGGCTCTCACGACGATCGCGGTCACCGCGGTCATCGCGCTCGTCCTTGCTGTCTCGATCACTGATGTTTGAAGTTTAGCGCATGTCGGGAACCTTGCTTAGCACTCTTGGCTGAGGGAGTTGAGGGAGTCGTACCGAGGATCGGGGCTTCGGGAGCGGTCTCGGGTGTCACGTCGCGAGTCACGGTCGTAGTCTCGATCACGGTCGCGGCGGTCGTCCTTTCTAGGGGGAGAGTAGTCTCTCGTGCTGCGTCTAGGAGAAGGAGAGCGGCCGCCGCGGCGGGGAGATCGGCCACCACGTCGAGAGTCTCGCGAATCGCGGTCACGACCCGAGTCGAAGCGCCATGAGGCAGAAGGAGGAGTGCGTGCCCACTGCAAGCTGGGTTAGAAAAGGGGCGAGTCCCGAAAAGTCACGGCACAGGTCAAACCCACCTCGATCTTCAAGATCTCATCACGAGCCAGTCGCTTGTTGTGCATCTCGTAATATGCATCGTCAGCGTCACGGCGGTCTTCATACTCGACAAATGCGAACCTAGCGGAAGGTCGTGTAAGCATCGACGTACAGTGCCGGTCTCCGGGGACATTTTGGGGGAGTGTCGCGTGATGACTTACAGCCTGCTGCTAGCGCTGCGCGGAGCTGGAATGTCGCAGCGGACCAGGCGACCATAGCTAGATAGGAGCAAGTCAGCAATCATACCTCGCAGAGAACTTTCCGTGTCCGCATCGAGTGCGTCCGATTTCGATGTCCCGCCACAGGGCTGGGGCGGGGCGGGGTCGGCTCGCGATGCACGTAAACGATATATAGGTCCGACCGCTCGATCGAAGGAGAGTCAAAGTGCTGCGACGACACAGATGGGGAGGCGGGCGAAGGTGGGAGGGACGAGGAAAAGAAACGACTCGAGGACCGCCGGCAACCGTGGGTGGACGGGCGACGGAAACGGGGACGGGGAGGCGGCTGGCTGGGCTCGAGGACACGACGAAGAAAGGTAGGCAGGCAAGAGCATCGCAGGCGGGCGAGCGAGGACGGGCGGGCGGGTCGGTCGGTCGAGAGAGATGCCGACGGTTTGATGAGGTTTTGTTTAGCTGACGTACCGTTCGAATTCGTAGGCGAGGTCGCGGGCGCGAGTGCCGTGGCTGAAACCAGTCACGTAGAGGGTGGTACCACCTCGGGACGACATGGCTGCGGCAGGCAAGACAAGTTGAAGGCAGAAGGGCTGTGAAGTGTAACGGAACAAGTGAGTGGGTGGTAAGAGTGAAGACGCTGTTCGGACTTTGGCCTCTCGAACTGTTGATGGGCTCTTCGGCTGGGTGATGTTGCTGGAGGTTGAAGTCGGCGAAAAGAGTCGGTTGGCTGCGAGGCAAGAGTGGCGGAAAAACTTTGCTTCCGAGTCAGAAAGTCCAGTCGGGTGTGAAGCTTTACTTATGACGTTGGGCAAGTGCTAAGGAATGCTAACTTCGATAATGAGGCTACTGTGTGGGAGGGGCTTTGATTGGTCTGGGCTCCTGCACTACCCAGGTACGGTACCAAAAGCACCACCAGTATACACGTGAGCCTCGTGCCTGCTTGTGCATAACAAACAGTAGACTGGCTACAGCCGAGACTACCACGATGTAAGCATTGCAAGAACACACGTTCACTCTTGCTGTTGCTTAACGCACAGGAGACTGGCTGCCTAGGTACGGCAAAAGACTACCTAGGTACTTCTTGACCGAGTTGCAAGAACGCCCATTGATCCCAGTTAGCTGCTCTTGTCTGCAGCGGCCTACGCCCACTCCTTTTCTCCCTCCCCTTCCACCCCATCGTATTGACACTCTGATTTACACTCTTATTCTCTATATCTAGGCCACCAAGTTCATGTCACTATGAATTAACTTTCCTTAAGGTTTTCTTCAATTCGTTTCTTATTCAGAGGGTATCTCCACCAGACTTTTTCTACAAGCGCTTTCTAAACTAAACGAGAAAATAACTCCTTTCCCTTATCGTACCAGAAAGCTCCCCAAACCGTAGTCCCTAAGTCCCTAAGTGTTTCCAGCGCTCCTCCTCTCTCGGGGTGACCAAAACCAAGCCTGACCCAGAAACCAAAGAAATGAAACGAGTATCCCTATGACTGCGCACAGTAGAATCGAAGATAAGAAGAGGATGAGTGCCTATTAAACACCGTACATCATAATAATACACCGCTTGCATGTCGAAATTGTCGCATGACTGTCTCCTAATACCCACCGTGCCGTCTTGATCGCCCGGTGCCGATGTCAATGCGGCTCATTTCATCCACAAGCGCCCACTCGTCAGGGCCGCCGCCGCCGCCTGAAGGTCCGAGCCCGCCGCTCATGAGAGGGACCTTGGCAGGAATGGGCGGGCCGCTGCCAAATGAACCGCGTGGCACACCAGATTCTCCGTAAGGGACCGCATAGTTCTCATAATCGAACGTACCAGCCCGGACCAACGCCCTGGGCGGTGTGCTGTTGCGCTGATGAGCAGTCGCAGGCCCAAGTGGGTGTGTGGCCGGTGGAGCCGGTGCTGGCAAAGCCGATACCCTGTGGTTCTTCTTCTGCAACCGATTGCGACCCGTGCTCTGTGGCGGTGACGAGTCTACATCTGGTGTGATGTACGCTGCCGGAACCGCAGCCATGGATTTTGGTCTAGCCGTGATCCGGATCTGTCGACGGCCAGAGGGTGGCATCGGCTGTGCGCCCGCAGGCGAAGGTCGAGAACTGGCCTCGGCCTGCTTCGGCTGTTTGGGCTCTGGCTCGGGTGCCCAGGTGTCCATGGGAAGGTGGTCAGATGGGTCAACTTCTCGTCCATCGGCAGTGACGATTTTGCCATATGCATTTGTGTACTCGGAGCCTTTGGTTTCCTCCTTCGCTGATACAACCGAAGGGTTCAACTCATCATACGAGTCCGGTCCGAAGGGGACTCCCGATAACCGACGGCCTTCTTGTGGCGGGGCAGGGCTGACCGACTTCCTCTTGATGGTGTGGGTTGGATTCGGGCTGGGCGAATGCCTCCGCGGGTTAGCCATAGGGGCCGGACCCGATGGTGTCGTTGGGCCGCTCGAGTACGAAACTCCGTAACCCCTCGATTGGGAATGGTGGTGTCCATGAGGTGAAGGCTGAGCACCGTAGTTTGCTGGCGGCTCGCTGTGCTGCCTTCCTCGAGCTGGCGTGGCCATAGGCGCGGGCTGGGTATAGCGACGCTCATGCCTCCTATCCTCATGGAAGCGATCTGATATCTCCTGCGACAGGATGGGATCAACTCCGGGTACAAGGGTGGGTGGCACCGGGGGGATGTCGAAGTTATGAGATCGATGAACCATGGTTCCATCCGGAATATTCTGGGGCCCAGAATATGGGTCTGAGTTGGAGCCGTATGAGTTGGAATATGTATGTATAGGGTGGCTATCATGGTGATGATCCCTGGAAGCCACTGGAGACGGAGAAGCTGTGAAAGCATGTGCTCCGTATTGTCTTTGCGCCTGCACTGGTGACGGGGTCGTGAATTGGCCTGACGCCGCGCTACCTCGGCCGCTGATGTTCAATGGAGCAGGGCTAGGCACGGAGCCGTAGTGTAACTCGTCGTGTTGCTCCTGGCGGGAACTCAGCCGGCGGGTAGTAGGTGGAGTCCAGGACTCGGGAACGTCTTCCACCGTGGGCTGCATAGAGCGCTGTTGATGATCATAGGGCGAGTCGTAAGAGTGGTGTCGGGGTGGCGACGGATGGCTAGGGTCCTCATATGTCAACTGCTTGGCCATGTCCGGCGCCGAGTCATAGGGCCGATATATGGGCCGCCCAGGGTAGTGGGAGGATGAAGCAGGAGAGGGCACGGCCTGCACGGAATGGCGGTGCGCTTCACTCCTCAACACGTCGTGCCTCATGGGTGTTGATGGTGCCCCTTTGTGTTGGGGAGAAGGCTCGATTCCCCTGGCCATATCGTAAGAGGCGCCGCTGTTGTTCCTAACTCTGTGGACTGGTGGCGGAGGCGGACGGTCCTCATCCTGGACGGGCTGCTGCATTGGTTGTCGGGGTCCAAGGACAGATGGCGAATGCTGGTCATAGCTAGGCTGGCCATGATGTTGAACACTCCTCTGGTCGTGCTCCGACGATCGAGAATACTGATCCTGGCTGTACCGACGATCATCCTCCAGGGCAATGAACTTTTCGCTCCTGTCGACCGAGCGATGGTGCTGAGGGTCGTCTCTGTGCGAGGGAGGTGTTGCGTATCGAATGCCTTGATCCGATGCTACAAACTGCTCCTGCTGGCTGAACCGGGCAGAAGGCGGCGTGTGGTACTCCAAGGCCTGAAGAGGGGACTGCTTGGGTATGAAGGTGGCCCCGGGCGGATTCGGCTGGGGCCTTGGAGGTGTCTGTGCATGCTCTGGTCTGGCACTTGGAGCAGGCACTTCCTCGTGGGACCCTGGGTTGGTCGGCAGGGGACGCCTCTTCACGGGAGTTCGTTGCGAGCCAGCAGCGCCGTCTTGGTCAGGGGTGGCAGCGACGGGCTTTGGCCTTGCGGCGGCCTTCTCAGGCTTCGGTCTGGTATCGTAGTAGGTAATCTCAATGCGGATCTCGCCCGCGTATTTCCCTTTGCAGTTGAGGCCATGCCACTGGTCGTTCTGGCCACCGCCAGGCATCACAATGTCACGTAGATCAATCCATGTCTCTCCGATCAGCTCCGTCTTCTTGTCGTCGTTGAAGACGGACAGTTTGAGCTGGTAGTAATCAGGCGAGTCGTGTACAGTGAATCGAAGTTCTTGGTCCCTGTGGTGGAGAGACTGGTCAGCCCAGGGCTCTGTCTTGAGCTGTGATGCGACGCGGCGCTGGTGGTCGAGGTATGGACTTACCACTTGGGCGTCTGGCCGCCTCGCACGTCTGTGGTCGTCTTCTTAGCCTCCTTCCCCAGGCGCGCGGCAGTGTAGGGGTCCTGCTTCCCAATCGTCTTCCTGTTGGGTAGATTCTTGGCTCGGTCGACAATCAAGACCAAGGTTCCAATCTCCGGGCCATCGACGCTCATGTCGGAGAAGATACCAGCGGTGTGCATCCCATTCAATGGGTTCGTCTTGGGCTTAGCGGCCATCTTTGCTGGTGGTGGTGGTGGTGATGGTGGAGGTGGAGGTGGTGCTGGCGCGGTCTCGGCCGGTCATCTGTTTCCAGGGGTGAGAGCTGGATTGAAGGAGAAGTGGTTATTGCTATTTTGCTGAGCCGGGCAGCTGGGGCGTATGTTTTGTTCGGCTACAATGAGCGGCTGGCTGGTTTCGTCGACTTTGTTGACTTTGGACGGCTGAGATTATTTACGCCTGCGGAGCTAGCACTGCCCGGGGGACGGAAACGAGTGAAACAGAAAAAGTACTACTGCGAAAACTAATGAAAATGGCGACGATGTCCACCGTGGAAGACAATTGACCGGCTCAAGCAGCTAGGCATCCGTCCTGCAGCACTGGGGGGAGGAAAGATGCAGACGGCAAAGAAGATAGAGGGAGCGAGAGGGAGAGAGAGAACGGCCTGCAGTCGAGAAAGCCGATTTCGATTGGAGGTTGCTGTAATGTATGCCGTGTGGAAGTGCTCGCGGGTGGCTGGTTGCGCTGAGCCCGGGGGGGTGCGAAGTGGGAGGCTGGTGCGGGCAGTGGAACGCAGTGCAAGGATCCGGGGGGGCCAATGGGCGGCAGTGGGTGCCAGTGGGTGCCAGTGGGTGCCGTGGGTGCGTAGCTCGATCCAGCTCGGGCCAGAAACAAGGGCCTTGTTTAGTGGGACCCATGGCGTGCGGCGCCAATCACAGCCGCGCGCCGGGGTTCGTGTCCTCGGGCCTTGGCCCTTCTGCTCGCGGTGGGCCTTCAGCTGCCTGGGATTTCACCCAAACAATTGGCCTTGGGGATCGAGAATCGTACGGCAATTGCTAACTAGCTGCTCGTCGATTCTTGTATCGGCACCATCTCGATATCTTTGACATTGCGTTCCCGCTTTTCATTATCCTCCGCCCTGCCGGGCCTCCGGGGCCCAGGAGCACCGTCCTGCTGGTGCCTGACGCGTCCCGCCGAGGCGCAGTGCTGGAGGCACATCCATGGGCAGAATTGGGGTTATGACGTCCGATCACAGCCCTATCTAGCACCAACCTTGAACACTCGATCCGCATCCGTCGCTGCCTCAGCCAAATTCTTGCCGAACCCCCCGCAAAAAACCTCAAACACAACGGCTGCTCGGTGTCCAACGTCTACTAACGTCGTTCGCTTTCGGTAGCGCCCTCATTCCTTCCAGAACGTCTTTGTAACAAACCTGTATTGCGCCAGCAGTGAGGCTGCAGCAGATGGGGCCGGCCCGATCGTTCTACACATGCGTTCATCGTCGGGTGTCAAGCGTCGTGTTTCATACGTACAGTGACTGTAGCCAAGCTGTCGCATACGTCAGCTTTTGACTCTTCTAGGCAAATGTTCGGACTTCCAGAAGCACTTGGCGGTTCGGGAGCATCGGGATGCACGTGGCCGCAGAACTGATTAATTAATAACAGTCTCTTACTGTCCCAAGATCAAACGTCACACCCACATTTCAGCAGCTCTAGGATGTGGCCAGACCAACAGGCGAGTCAGCTCCCACGCATTTGGATGCTTAAGCTTTCTTGAATCAGAGTCTCCAAGATCACGTGTGATTTTGGACTTTATATTACTTGGCTTGCGACCTATCATGTCTCCATTTCGTTGGCTAGCAGTCCATCCCCGGCTCCTCGTCTGTTTTCATGTGATATATCCCACGTCAGTAGCCCATCCTCTACTGATCAACAGGGCTTTTTGACAGAGTCTATCACTAGACTTGAATGCGTTTGATGCGAACTTCAAGTCAAGGGCCTCTGTCTCAGGTGAAGGAGAGTTACTGCATCTCGTACCTAGGATAACTCATGTTCATGACCCGCAAACGCAGCGCTGGCCGCTGGTGATGGAGCAGAGATTCGGATATCTCCATAATAATCGGTCAACAGTTTCCCGATCAACTCCCGTGAATGCTAGAGACAAAATGTAGTGGTTGAACTATTCATAACAGTTGAAATAGTCGAGTCTCAAGCGCGGAAGTTGGCTGGAGTACGGTGTAGATATCTTTGAAAGTCCTAACTCCTCTTCTCGATAAATTTTTCGCCCACGTGAAAGTCTATTTCTGGTAAATCACCTTCATTTTTATCACCCATTACCGTCTAATTAGTAGTTATGGCAACGCTCTCCCGGATGGTGATACAATGATTGCTAACTAAGAGGGCAGAATTGAAGAGAGTATTATTATATATTGCTGGAGATGCATATTCAACTCAGCCAGCCAACATATACTAACAACTTACGTGAATAACAAACAATGAGCCAATGGTTCCCAAATTATTCAACCCACAATTTGTTGAGGAGGTACGGATCAACTACGGCTAAGGCATGCTTACTTATACGATCAAGTTACGGGAATAAGACTAGTTTGTTCAAGTTATAAAATGTCAATTGCATATCCGTATGCTAGATACTGTTCATGCCAAACGCCGCGTTGAACTTGAGCGTCAGATGATTCGCTCGGATATCATTGCCCATCATAACGCCAGAAACCAATTACTGCATCTGGTTCAACCGGTCCTTGGCGGACTGCTTAGCCTCCTCAGAAACATTCGGGTTCTTGGTGGTGCTGAGCGGATGTTAGGTCATTTGAACGCTTATTGGGGTTTTTTTTTTTTTTTTCTTTT